CGTTATCATTAAAACCTGGACATATGTCGACGTGTGCAAAAATTAATTATCGCGAAATAATCCGAAGTATTACAAACGAAACACAGATAATCGTCGGGACTCTATATTTCGAGTACAATTAATTGACGTCAAGAACGGCGTCATATTTGATTACCTATGGAGTGTTAACGATAAAGTACATTTCGTGTAAGTATCCACTAAAATCACCTAGAAACATCAGATAATTAAACGAAACGAAAAGAAACATTTGGTGGAACGTTCCAGGCTCGAGTCGTCCGCCCGAGCGTTTCAGCACCATCAAAACAAACAATTTTTTTTCGCTTTCGACGTTCGATGTATACGTCGTGCGAGCAAAATATCTCTCAACCTCTACTACATACCTTAACGGTTGCGAAATTTACTTCTAAACTTTACAAACTTATGGATATAGGGAAATAGAAATACAGTTCCAAAATCGAATTCATCGGCAACGCGAAAAGCCGGCAGGCTTGGAAAAACGATCGGCGAGCCACGGGAGATAAATTACCTAACGTGCACGCCGTAACGTAATAACCGAGTTGTCGCTAAAGTTGACTGACGGTACGCGACGAAGATAATACGTGTTCGTTTACCATCGGGAAATAAGGGAACTCAAACACAAAATCATCAGAGTTCAGCAAAGCGGTCGAAACACAACATTCCATCGAAGGTCATCGCGAGTTGTGGCGAGAGAAATGTGCCTCGTATTCCGTACACAAATACTGACTCAGTCAGTGAATTTTCGATCCAATTTGCGTTCGTTTCGAAAACGATCGATATTCGTCTCGATATTCGATCAAGAGAAATTAACAACGGAAGCAGACATGTGGAACGCGCGCGCAGCACGTAAACAAAGCCACGAGATCGAACGGAGAACAAGAGAGAGGTTAGGTGACGACGACACTTACCACATCGTACATCCAGGAATCCATGGCATCTGTCGGAGGCTTCGACAATGGCACTGGAGATCCTACGGTGTTGATCGTTGCACTTTATCACGGGGAAAAGCGTAAACGATCGCGGCACGGAGAATCTAATCATTTACGAAGTACGCGGAGATAGAGACACGCGCGCGGTCACGCGTATGTGCATACTACCCCCTACCACGACGTTCACGGCCCGACGAGCCGTACGCGACTGACGGCCGATACAGAGGATACGACAATACTCGGAACCAGCCGATCCTAACACCGGGCGCCACGAATCCGCGAAACGCACTTTTACTACGCTAATTACCTTATCTATATAAACTAAATTGATACTCGTAGAATTTTCACGTGATATCGGCTTACAAGGGACGTCTGCTGGCTTCAAAATTCTATTTCTTACTTTAAACATATTGCAGAACTTCGAAAACCATGAAACTTTGATTTAACTGAAATTATACATCTGTATTGTATTTTGGAGCCCAGGGCAAAAGGCTCTAAATTTGCCTGGTAGTGAAAGGTTAGTTCTATTTGAAGTTATGTGGATTTAAAACGGACCCACTGTATGCTTAACTTTTTCCGTACGACGAGATGCACCTTTATTTGACCAATCGTTGAAACGGGACTCGCAGAAGATTATTTTATTAGTTCCAGTAACGGTAAAGATTGTTCTAAACTTGCTGTTCTAAATGAAGAAAATCGACGAAATATGTATTCTATTCATAGACCACCAACGGGGATCGCTAAAAACTCTCACTCTGAAATATTCAGAGGAATCGTTGCATTTTTCAGAGTCTTCGAGTTAGATTCGCCTGTATCAACGATCAAATCGACGACCATTCGAATCTGACGATGCTGTCGCTACATACGAGCATGAAGGAAGTATCGTTGCGAATATTGTCATGGTCATAATTAATCGGTCGTTAACTCATGATTCTCGAACCTCCTACTCGAGATATATATTCGAATACTCGAAAAACGGATCCATTAGGTAGCTTCCCTTCAACTAATACGACTAACAAGTTACTCAAGCACATGACTGCAATTAGCCAACGTCTATGGGGTCCTATGGATGGAGAGGAATTGCGTGCACGTACGACGCAATTGAATTTTCAAAGGGGAGTAGATCGATGGAGCTACAATTCTCTCTCTTTACCCCCATGCTTGGATACGGTGGTCCTGTTCTCGACACCGAGATGGTACGCTACTGGCGTTATGCGTGCTACGTGTATATGCACGACGATGAGGGTGAGTGGGTGGGAGATGGGGGCGGTGGCTGTGACGGCAGAGCGGCGGTGGTAGCACTGGAGGCGGCGGCGGCGGCTCGTCAGCCGACGGAGGAGGAGAAAGGTGGCCAGTGGCCTTGAACTTGGCTGCCGCCGTTTTTGTGCACAGCCGTCGCCCGCCGAAAACAGCCCACCAGCGTAGGCTACAGAGTTTTCTGTTGACACACCGCAACACCACCTCCCCGAACTTGACCTAGCATTGAACACCGTTTTCAACCAGTCTGTCTTCTCCTGGATCTCGCCTAACTTCGCTTTCGATCAACAAAATTCTATATTAGACCCGGACCAATCTATTTTATTCATTTAATGCAAAAAGCTCCGAGAAACATAATATCAATTATATTTATGAATTCCAAACGCAAGTATGAACCGTCTGAAACGTAAACTTCGTATCTACGTTGAGTTTCATATCCAATCATAAATCATTCCCTCACATTTATTGTCCGCCGACTGTTTTCGAACAGATTATCTGCAACGAGAACCATTATGCAACATCGTGTCGCATATTTTCGATGTTTCCTGATACACTCGATAAGGAAGACAAGTGTGGTAATCGAGGGAAGAATTTGCGTAAGATATCGAGACTGCACGTAGCGAGCTCTCGACAAACTTGTCGATACTAGTCCAGATGAAACATATTGCGTGCAATCGCGAACGCATCTCCTTTGGCATAGTTCTTAACAGGAATAAACTTCTAAAGAATTTTTATTTCTTACTCTGAATAAACAGTAGCGTTTGCTTTGAGGATAGAAATACTTATAAATAAATTACTATGTATTGGTTTCATTAGTCATCTATTATTCCAATAAAAGTTTCTCCATTTCTAGTTTCTAACAAAAGAGACGCGCTCTAAAAAAAAATATCAAAACCTGTGCCAATGGAAGCAGCCGGTAAAGGTATAGCCAGGGTTGAGGTAGGTAGACTACGAACTAACCGGATCGATATGGCACTCTCGCTTTCTGGTGTTCTCGTTTCATCTATCTGTGTCGCGTTTCTGATGCAGTGCACAAAATTAAGCCATCTTCTACCAATCTATCCGTTTTCCAAACTATGATCCACCGAAAACAAGTGTATTCCTACGGTAAGAAAAATGAAATCGTAACATCGTACAAAATGTGTACGAAAATGAAAATGGAAAATGGTAACTATCTTCAAAATAAAAAGTAATTAGAAGAACACCCGCTGTAACGAGTATTGTTTACATTTGAAACCATCAAGGGTCTAACCTAAACATATCGTCTGGCACAACAATATCATCGTTGAATGTCGAAAACAAAGTCACTGCCAATCTATGTAAATATATTTATTTTGATTTATTTATAAACCATCCCAATTTTTTCGTCAAAAATTGAAGCACTTTGTACATACCGGACACTCGTTCAATGTTGCTAATCATTCTCAAAAAATCAATTGATTTTCCACGCGATACACGGTGAAAATTTAATTCTTCTATATGCAAACGGGCGCGTGCTACGCGAAAAATAAAACGATCTATCGGAAATATTTAGGAAATCGTAATTTTGTTTTTCATTAACTCAGCTTTATCGATTGTTACCTTCCAAAATGGAAAGACGATCTGTCGGTAACAAAGAAATTTGTAATCTCATCGGTCGGTACAAATATTTAAAATAATAACATACCATTTCAATTTTAATAAAATAAAAGGAATCTCGCGAATTCTTAGACAAAACCATTAATGTTATTCATTGATAGAAATTATATTCATTGATATCTGTCATGCAGTGATTCAATGCATTAGCCTACTGTGAACAAGAGTACGTGTGTTTGCATTGAATATTCAAAGGCTATTTAGCACAATTATAGAATTACATAAAAGGATGAAACCTGTTACATGTAAATCTTGATCTTTTAGAAAATCTTATTTCAGCGTGTTTCAATAATAAGTAAACATACGTTTTGAATTTAATATGTAACCTAACTGTTGTTAAAAATACAAAGTATATACACTTAATAGCGGAATTAATTTGCACTCTGTATGTATACAAGTTATAGACAATATCATACCATTGGAGCTATTGGTGTATCGATTTACAGACTATGAGATACGCGTAGCTTGAGAAAAGCCACGAAATCTCGTTTATCGTCACTCGCTGGATTTCATAACTCGCCTTTTTTTTTTTTTTTTGGATGAAAAAAAACCAAGGCCACAACAGCCTTGTTGTGAAACTCCCGTGTAGTTGATTTTGAAATCGAAAAACAAAATCGAAAGGAAAACCGATGGATTCGCGATTTGGATGGAACATGGAGCGATCGATGACAAAAGGAAATTAACAGACGAAACACGAAATACAAAGTAACAGCAAAAAATACAATGTACACAGCAAGACGTAAACGAATTTGTAACAAAGATGGCGGAAGGAAATTTGGCAGATCGTTGGTGCCCTATTATTTTTGCCTTCTCTACGAAATAGCGCCAAGGGAGACATTAACGAACGTAGAAATAGATCCAAGAACTTACCTTGAGATCTGCGATCGTCCACGTATCTCCATCGATGCTTGGAGATTTTCAATCTCGAGAAAAATATTGTAGCAATGGCCGATTCCACAACTCACTACAAGCAGAAAACTCGACGGTTTCGATTGTTGTGCTCGTGGCGCCATCACACGAGTACGAGTACAGCAAGAATCATGACCCAAATGCGGTTGGTGCTGACCTCTATCAAGGAAATAACAAATTCTTAGTTTTCTTGCACTCCACAGATGTTATCGCAAAAAAAGAAGTTCAAAAAATCCAAGTCGCAGCGATCTAAATTTTTTTTTTTTTATTATGAACACACTGTCAATTCTTTGACAAACAACGCGAAAACACGTGCAAGACTGCATCTTAATTATTATCTTTGGCACTAGTGTTTAAAACAAAATACGCAGGAATGTAAAACACAAAGGAAGGTAAAAAATGTAAACAAAATCGAACTTAAACTTTCGCAATTTCACAGGATACATTTTTTGGATCCCATTTCCCGTTACTGGCTGGTCGTATGCACAACTTGGCATAGATATATTTCTGCAATCGTTCCGGATTTAAAACAAGACACTCGTTGACTATTTTGCAATAGTATCTAACATCGGAGGGTAAAATGATGATATGCGGTTGTTGTTCAAAACATGCATAATTTTGCCAAAGAGTAGTATCAAAGTTCAACCCTGAAAAAGGAGGGTACAAAGGATAGAACGTCGTTTGGGATAATACATGATCAGCTAAACGGCCGAGTCTGTCCATGCCGGGAGTATTCCTAAAAAAAAAAATTATTCGTTAGATTCGAACTGTTATCGTGTCGTCTATATATACCGTTAAACTTACGATATTTCTTGCTGTCCTAAATGTCTGAGAGTATCGACGGAAGTTATTCCTATTTGCAAACCTTCAACGTTTATTATACATGGGTCTGGCATGGAACATAGATTCGCGGTGTTTGATCCAATTTTGTTTGTATATATGGTGAATTCCGGCGTCGGATAAACGGGATCGTGATGTGCGTCTCGATTGGAAGATACTACTACGACCCGCGTAGATCTCCTAAAATTCGAAAAATCATTGTTAGTAAAAATCGTAGGAGCACATTAACGTCACGTTTAATAAGATATGTACCCTTGTAGACATTGCATGACCCTCGACAAAATTTTATCAAAAAACTCTTGAAAAGTATCTTTCAAGGTACACTTCTTAATCTCAGAGTGCGTATATTCTATAAAAGGACCAATCAAGATCAATATATTCGGCTCTTCATCTACGACGCGTTCCATGAGATCCCATAACGGCTGGTAGTTTAAATTGTCAGACGGTGTGAATGGACCAACCGCAACATACACTCTCAAATCTTTTAATAATTTTGGAGTAGCTGCTAGAGGTGCGTGGCCTTTTAGAAACAATTCCTTCGCAATTAGAACGTTTCCCGCGGTATTAATACCTTCCACCGCAACTATCTGTCCCGTAAAAACAGAATAGTGCTTGATTCCGCTGAGATCTAGTCGAATAATAGGCGCATTGTTGTCACCCTTACATTTTTTGCAACCTTCTAGCATAACCACCTTAGTACCAGTTGATTTATCGATCATGGTGGATATTCTGCCCCATGTTCTAAACGGTGTTTGGCTCACGGATATTACGTTTCTCACGTAACGCACGTTGGCCTCTGTGGGTCCCATTTCGTTCCAAATGTGGCACAGTCGCTCACCAAAACTTTCACAATTGCTGGCAAGAGCGGCCCCTTGTTTGGACAGCATTTCGTACATGTACACCACATCTTTGGGTACGTGAGGATTATCAGCCTTTGCGATCGATATATCATATTCGTTTTGTTTCTTCCAAATGTGTACATCTGGGCCAAAATTCAAAAGAACTTTGCCTCTAACGAGAGTACTTGGGGCACGATTAGGCACAATTCTGTAACAACAGTTGTGATATACTAACTGGAGTACTGGATGACATCTAAATGTATCAACTCGTTTCATACGATATTTCATTTCTAATCTGATTTGTCCGTATGCACACTTGTGAATTTTGTAGTTCTATCGATTTCTCACACAGTAGAACCTCGTTACTTGCGTGTTGATAATTAGAAACGAGTGAAAGTGAAATTGAAACATTACACAAGAGCTTAAACAAGGATTATTTGAAAGAGGAGGAAAATTTACATCGAAAAGTCCGAGAGTCATTTTTCATGAGAAAAACGTGGAAAGCTGCTAAGCGTGAAGGAATGGAAAGGTTTTGACAAACCTTCCACTGTGGATTAAAACAAACTCCAGAGTTACCTCGATAATTGCATGAATGGTCAACCCCGTTTCTATGCAACTATCGAGATTCTACTGTCCTTCCATTAAACAGTCTGCTTACGTTTTTGAACTATAAGTTGATGGCGAAAACGTTTGATCCACCGCTCGTATTTTAGTATCGTTTCCGGTTTCCGTTGTCGGACTTCTCGCTCTTTTAACATGCTTGGAAAAAGAAAAAAAAAACGACACAAGATAAATCATATCGATGCATATATTAATAAAACGTGTTTCGATGAAATTAAATATCGAAAAAAATAAATATAAATTACATTTGTGGTGATTGGTAAGTGCACTGATTCCGAGAGAGACACAGACAACCGTAGACGAGTATGTATCTAGTCACGAAACGAAAGAAAACGTGCACCACATTCATACTCGTCTATGGAATCATCTGTTTCGCGTCGCGCTGAGTCTTATGTAAATAAACAATTTTCCAGTGTGCAAACTTTTGTTCAACTCTTCGTAATCAGCAATGAAGCCATGATGTTTGATCCCAAACGTGCTTAATGAGTGTGGATCTAGTCACAACTTGATCATCTGTGCACTAGACCTTCACTCATTTGGCAAATTCAGAGAACGTTTTGTATCACCCTATTTCTTCTCGCTCCTCCTTTGTTCTCCTGTTTAATCTCTACGCTTCGAACTTCAGTTATAAATTATTTCTAAGCGATCTCAAATAAACGCAATAAACGCAGAAAAGATTTCGAATTAGCAACGCCTACAATGCTGGAATATAAATAGTTACGGTGGCTCGCGTTCAGAAGTTCAACGCAACAAGAAGGGTTAACTGTTGTTAACCTGACCGTTCTTCCCGCTTGCGTTATTACGCATTATTTCAATCGAGTTCGAGCTATTTCTTGTAGTTTGCGTTCGATACTATCGCATTAAATTAAAACCGGCCTTTCTTCGACGAGTTTCCACGTACATATCAAATTCCTTTGAGTACATTGTGGCCCTGCGTTAACGTCGATACGATACAATGACAATCGTAAAAATGTTCGTTGTTCTGTTATTGCATTGCGGCGAGTAGCTTGGAAATTGCAGAACAATTGTAAAGAAACGCCTTTGCGACCTCTACTATGTTTAGGCTCAGTGAATCAAGATAATTCTGTATACAAAATGTTTACGTTATCAATAGAGGAAGTTTTTAAACAAGAATAGTATAAAAATTGTACTCGACTTACTTAAAATAGTAAGTTATGCAACCCGTGTGGCGATAATTTGAAGGCGTGCTACAAAATTACAAAGAAAATTAGTTGACAGTTTACATTTTTGTAACGTGTCTTCAAGTTATCACCTTGCATGTTACTTAACTTATTATTTTACCCGTAAAAAAAAAAAACCCCTTACTAAGTTGTTTCGTATTTCTTTGAAGCATGTCGATTGGACAACAAAAAAAAAAAACTGTTAATTGCACTCACAGAAGCGTACGTTACATAAGTAATACTAGTACTTCGGTCGAATGTTCCAAGACGCGAACGTTGGGGAATAATTCATTCGAACGATACTTGCTGTACCAGATCATGTAAAACTTTGGGTCGATCACCGAGAGCTATGTTCCCTTTCCCCCTCCCGTTGAGTAACACACCAAGCCGAGGAGACTATTTCTCCTTCTATCCCTCTCTCCGTGAACTAGCCGCCCCTGGCAATCTTTCGCCCCACTGTTCACAAAGATACCGTGGGAAATAACGCGAAGCTTTTACTAGATACAGTTGTAACCAGCCACGGAAATAATCCGTTGGGATTCGAGTCGTTTTCGAGCGCGAGTATAGATTTTCTTCTTCTCCGAATCGACGCCACGAATTTCACGCATACCGTGTGGTAAGAAAGAACGACAAGGATCAAGAAATTACAAGAAAATGAAAGAGGAAGGAGATGGGACTGTCGATTGTTGGTCAATTATATTTAATTGGTAGATTCGAACAGCTCCCTAAGGAAACGATCTTTCCAAGCACGAGCTGTTCGAGAAAACCATGGTTAACTTAAGCCTGGGTCAATAATCGTGCCATCGAATGTTGTAATTAAAAAAAGAAAGGTTCAAAACTCAATCAAAGACCTCGTGAACCAAGATTTAATAGTAAAATACTTTTCTGCTTAGGAATTCCAAACATTATTCCAGTTACACCGAACGTGTGCAAGAATATATGTGCTAAACAAAGGAAAATAGACCTTAATGCAAACAAAATATAGAATTATTAACGATAATGTACACGGCCTTAAAAGAATCGTATCGCGTATAAATGCTGGCGCGCGCGAGCGCAAATACAGTCACATGCGTACGCGTGTACTAATATACGCGTGTGTACGAGTAAAATACCACCAGTGCGAAATTAATACGTAGTACAGAGAAATAAATAATCGAATCGAAGAGAATCGTGCAGTACCTTACAATTATAGGGTAGCCAAAGGGACCGCCTTTGCACGAAAGACCTTGAGAAAATATCGAAAGAAGCATGCGACATAGTCGAAGCAACAGGTTGTAGCGACGCGACGCTCAGCTCAACGAAACGGTCGACGACATTCACGCGCGCGCGCTCGCATTCACGCACACACAAATACGGAATCTTCTTTCTCCCTCCTTTACGCACACGATACTATTCTGCTCTGCCACACGCACACACGCATGCATGTGCACGAAAGATAACACAAGGTTATTCGTAAATTTCGCCGAAACGTTGAAGATGAAACGAGCAACACGATCGCAGGAACGGAGTAAAACGAACCGAAACCTTACTCGAAACGTAGTACAGATCGCGGTTTTACGAGTGCTCGATCCGACACGATCTCTCGCACGATAAACGTACAACTACATTTCAATCGTAACTATTCGATGCAACGAAAAAAGACGAAAGGAATCGAAACGCGAACAATAGTGGCAGCGGTAACAGCCAGTAGCAATAGCAACAGGTCGTTGCGACGCGAGGCGCTACACGATTGGCGGAATGACTTTCGAGTATGAAATTCACTCAAACCGAATTCCATGATGGCCGACGCTCCGCGGTCAACCGTTTTAACGTGCGATGCACCACATCGTACACTTCCTCCCGTTGTAATATACCTCGCGTACGAACCATTTCGCTACGGTCACAACAGCAAAATAACACAATTCCGAGCCGACGCGAACGAAACGAAAAAATCCACAACGAACCGGCAAAACACTGTACGATACACTCTGAATCCGCGTGACGCGCTGACAGACAGTCGGTGGCGTCGTCGATTCGACGCCATAGAGATGCTCGGTTCGCACCCGGCAATCGTTTCGAAAATACAAACGATATGTTCGTTACGCGAGACGAAATATTTAATTCACGAACGAACGAGTCGATTATATGGAAGATAACTCGAAAACAAGAACGCTATAACGCGAAAGGAACAACGCTTAGTTCAAGGAAACTGTGAGAGCACGCGCACGCGCGCATCAGGATGATAATGGAGTCTGGGTCCTTGAAAACTGAAATCGTACCCTTTGAAGAAATCTGGTCAGCTCTCTTAGATGGAAGGAGAACCCCTCCCTTCACGATTCTGAGGAGGCAAGCTGTCCTTTTTCCACCAATAGGAATGAATCTGACTATCCCCCTCCACGGAACAGTGTCCTTTGTGGGAGACGGTTGAGAAAGGGGGAGGGGATAATGGCGGCAATCTACCTGGACGATTTTTGTGGCGGGAATTACGGTGCCTCTGCGAGATCGTACAACAACGCTTCTCTTCGGGATAAGAAACCACCTGCCGGGGAATCGCGTCGAAAATTTCACCCGTACCGTAAACATTCGACGTCTGTAGCAACGCTTGGCGATGTATAGTACAATATTTTGCTTCCTGCTACATGCTGTACATCTACCGATACTCTAACAGTACAAATCCATTGAAATTTATCATGTTTGTGACAGAAAAAATGTATTTCCCACAGAAAAAAAAGGAGGATGAATGAGAAGAGTAACAGAGCTATAAATCACGGTAGAATTAGTACGAATGTAATGAAAAACACGATCAAGTTCACTTTGCAATACATAATTTAGGCTTCGAACAAAAACTGTTAAAAAATATTTTGTTCTGCTTCGAAACTGAATAAATTATCTGAAGAATTATATATATTTATTTATATAATTGTATAAATTTTTATCAGAAAATAATCAAAATATTCATTGTACTACTTGTGCGATTTTATTATAAGGAAACCTGAATATTTTACGAAGAATTAGATCTACAGGTAGATATCTTACGTCATTGCTACTATAGACTATAGATCGACCATAAAGAATGTAAGACAGTGTTGCCAAAGCGACGTAAATATGATTGCAATGCCAAGGTTGAGGTTTCACATAAAACGTATCCTTGTTTCGTCGATACGATACATGTATTGGTATTGGTTATAAAACTAATAACAATTCGTAATTTCTATCGTTAATAATCGTTGAAAATTGCTACGTTGTTTTCAAAAAAATCTTCTAAAACTACGTCTTTTTTTTATTACAGATGTTAAGAAATCCAGTCTATATATGAAATGTAGCAATTAAAATGGTTCATATTTTGTATTATAATTTGAAACGTAATTTCGAAGATAAAGAAATACTTCGACTAAGCGAAAACCTTGCGTTCCTTGCAAAACTAACGACGTACGATAAAGATAGATTGCGAATTTATAAAATAAAAACAAGTCTACGAACAAATTACGTCATAAATAATCATTTTAGTTGTACTACTCGTAAAGAACAAGCAGTTTCATAAATCTGGCAACAATGCAGAAGGCCATTACATGGGTGGAGACCTTTTCCTTTAGAAAGAGAGAATAAGGGGAACGAGCATCTTTTGAAATCATCAAAATAGTCTACTCGAATTTTAACAATGTGTATACATAGATGAGAAATATAAAATTTTAGTATCAATTCTATTAAAAAAATATGTTAAACAAAATAAAATGTAAAATATCATCATGTCCAAATGTTTCTTGTAATAAATATATTATAGAATAGAAATATGATAAATTCAATGAAATGCGATTTTGCTATAATTAATGTATGGTAGGGCAATATAAAAGCAGGATACAAAGAATAATTTGTGACCAAAATAAAATTTACCTTCAACAAAGAAGATGGTCCAGTGTTGTATATGTCCAAAACATTATTACTGTTGTAATAATGTGCAACAAATATATGTAAGGATAATATTTAGATATAATAAAAAATAGAATATTCTTGTACTTGAAATTAATTCTAGCATGTCAAAGGATACGTGATTTCTTGGTCAGTCTGTATATCCACTTCTATATTAGATATTGCATGTGAAACAGTTTCAATAGAACTCTCTTGACCTTTTTTAAGTTCTTCTTCTTCTAACTTATTAAGATCATCTAGCGTTGGACTAATATTTATAGAATGTGAAACAGTGTACGAAACCCATAATTCTACAAATGTTTCTTCGTCAATGTTATAAGCATGACAAAGCTGAACACCTAATTGAAAATATTTTGTTTATAGATTAACCGAATGAAAAACACAATACCATATAAGTATAATATTCAAATGATACACGTAATAGAATAATTAATTTTTTAGGATAAGGTTATAAAAAATAGTTATGTGTCCTTAATACCTTTCAATAAATACTGTATTCTTTAAAATATACGCAACACTAAAAAGAATATCATTCAGTACGAAATATAGCGAATACGTATCATATCGTGAAAACTTACTTTGACTTGTAACGAAGTGTACTCGACAATAACAGTCAATTAATTTATTCATATAAAAAGCTAAGCTGTTAATATTTTAACACTATGAATAATAGATTTAATAATTGACTTACATCTATCAATGACAGATTTGTCTGGAACATCACAACCTAAATCACAGAGACACGAAATTAACGACTCTTCCGACACCATTTTGCTCGGTAAACTACATTCTTCAGGTTTTTCCCGCCAATTTGACCAATGCAGCCATGCGCGGTATTGCGAATGTATAAACCGTGCAATATGTTCTATAGGTTATGCTAAATTTTATGAGGAAAAATTTAATGTAAAAAAATAAATGCAAATTAAACGCATATTTTATTTTATACAAAATTTTCAGTATTCCAGAATGTATTTAAAAAAAAAATAAATGATTTGCTTTGTACAGTATATTATATATATACGTTTATACATATATACATACACTATACATAGCATACATAATAAAAAAATTATATTACAATAAGTAGTTTTGCTGATGCTTAAATCAATTAATGATTTTCGAGTGTAAAATATTCTTTATCTTTCTCCCAAAGTTCAATAAGAGTTTTCGAAGTTTCTGGAGATGGGAACCTCTCCATCCAAGATTGAATTACTCCGGCAAAATTAGGTTCATAATTTTTCAATTGTACTCCATTTTCACCTGCTCCAAGAAAAGCTAAATTAGTATAACTGGAAAACTTCATAATAAACAGAAATAACGATTTAAATACGAACCATTAACAAATGTGTTTGATTGTACAAATATTTTACGAGGTTCTTTAAAAGCTAAAACTATATCTCTCCAACGTGTCCATGGTTGTGGTCCTGTCTCAGGTACTTCGCTGTACTTTTCATACATTTCCTTGGCTGCCTCAATGTCTCCTGTACTTTTATAAACTTGTAACTTAGTTAAGAATTTCCTGATTGCATTTTTTCCAACTGTCAGAATCTTAGACCTGTCTACAGTTAATAATAAATTTTTTCCTGCCTCAGTTTCAGTAACAGTAACAAAGCCATCACCAGCTTCCATACAAACTCTAAGTAAGACATATCTTGCTTGGGAGTGAGCTTGTAACCATTTTTTAGTAGATGGCTGATAAAATTCTAAAGCTTTTGCACAACCATTCCATAACAGAGACAACCAGTTTACATATATTATGTCGTCTGCTTTGGAACCTTCGTGTCCAAATATCTGTAGTATATCTTTTTCTAAAGACAAATAGAGTCCAACTGCTTCTGCTCTACATTCTTCATAAGAAGATCCCATTGCACCAAACTTCGAATCATATGTTTCACCAGGCAGATAAAATTTATTTATTACTTCCCCATTTAAAGGATTTTTCACTTTACCCTTCTCAAAGTTATAAGAATCAGGTCCTAATTGTCTCAATAATTTTCCTGTTCCATGACCAAGAAGTTCATGCAAACCAACTTGCACTTCGAAACTAGCAACTCTATAAGTATTCATTAGGGTTTGATCCTGTTCAGATAAAAACTGTATCACATCCAACTTCATATTTGCAGGAATTACATTGCCCAGAGAAACATTTTTAAATCCTTCAGATTGCCTAATTTCGTCGTAATTTGGAATATTTATACCTGCTGGAATACCAGATCCAGAGAATGTTAAAACATCTAAAGAAGTAAAATCAGGTCTTAGGAATTCATCCTTTTCAAACTCTTCTCCCCAAGGAAGTTTTGGTATAAATTTTTCTGCATTACTCACTAGTGTAGCAAATTTTGCAGACATTTCCTTATTTACCATTGCTACAAACCCTTCAAATTCTCCTCTCTGGCCAGCAGGATCTCTATAATTCTCAATAAAACCAATGTAAGTTTCTATCACTGGCCCTTTATCTGTGATCCAGAAACGAGAACCATCTTTATGAGCTTGTAATGACCCTGTTGTAAAGTGCTCTATATATTTATTCAACATATTTTTCTCAATTTCATTTGCAGCATATTCTTTTGCCTTCTGCAAGTTATCAACAACTGGAACCAACAGCTTGCTATAATCTCCTCTCACAATTTTAAATTTAGCCTTTTTGAAGATCTCTTCAGGCAATGTAACACTAGGATCAGTATCAGTTTTTACAGAAGCTAATCTAATTTCATATGTATCCATATTTTTTCCAGTTTCATCTACTGTTTTAAAACACCTTGCATTATAAGATTCTAATCCCTTTTCTTGCATAAATTCATTAACTAAGTCAGCATCTTTGTCTGTACAATTGGCAGAGAAGTAAGTTGTAACACCCTTATCACCGAGTCCCAAAGATTTCAACTTTCCTTTTATCGAATACATTACATCTTTAATTTTATTCCAAATATCTTCAATATTCTTAGAATTATCTTTGTAAGCCTTTGAAACTTTTAATATTGCCTCAAGCTTTTCTTTAGGCAAATTAGGAATTATTTTACTATCCCCAAAAGACTTATAATTACCAGCATTTGCAAAAATTCCACAAGTATATACTAAGAAAGCCTACAAATATTTGTTTGGATGAAAAAACACATGAATACTATAAACAAAAACAATAATAAAGTTTAGCATTGTTTACTTACTGTAAATTCATCTTCACTGACACCTGCATTTAATGCAGATTTCTTCAACTCATCTATTGTTTCAGATATAAAAACGTTGTGTAAAAGTGCAAATATTAATGGAGATTCAGGAGAAGTTTGTATAAACACAATAAGACCACCGTTCCATGCAGCTTTACTTAAATAATGTGCATATAATTTTTCTTTTGTTGTTAGAGCATTAAATGCAGGTTCGCAATCTAAAGAAGTTATCGATTGCTTGTTTGGCAAAATAAATAAGGAAGTATCTTCACTCATTTTTGTGGACAAATGCCTTACACTGGAATGCAAAATCGTAATTTACAAGTTAATGTATTTGTTACATATAATATAAACTCTTGTATAAATCGTTGTACAAATGCGAATGAATGTACTATTTTCGAATAAATGATTTACAAAACGTGTTTGAGGTTAAGGCGTTTTGCAAGAAACGTCAGCAATAAGTGAGATTAATCTCTATAAACCATGTACATATATGTGTGTGTATCTATTTGTATAGTTGCACAGATGCATACAGTAAATAACCTACCAAAACTCAAAATTTTGTTTTAAATGTTTAATTCTTCTATTTGCCACCAAAATTGGTTGAATAGTCTTTCCCTTAAAATAAATATCAACTGAAAATGGCCGTAAAAAGTTCTGGAATACCTTTTTAGGAACGACTCTTTGCCGGCAAAAAGTCCTCGCGTGTAAGTTAAACATTGTAATTTAGAGCAAGAGAAGATAACTATAATTTGATAGTCAAACACACATACAACTATTTATAATTAGTGAGAGAGATCTCTTCTTGGATACATACGCATATCTCTATTCTAAATAGAACCAGTATTTGATAAAATGTGAGATAACAGTTAAAGACCAGCATTTCTTATATAATTTATTTGTTAAAGTAAAGAAAAAATTTTAATTTTACCGTTATGTATACGAAATGAACGAAGCAGAATCCGTTTCTGACTTTTTAATTCTTCCTTCGAATAATGTTCGTTAGTGCGCTTTATATACCTTTCTTATCTTTATCGATTTTTATCACGCAGATATTTAGTACTCACTTGGTTTAAAATTATCGTGCTTTTAAACAAAAATTTATAACGAGATTTTTTAAATATTTTATTGTTTACAATGTACATGTATTACATAAAATAGCCATTATTTATTATCCAATCTTTGTATGTACAACATTACCATGTTATTTTTTTCCTTTTCCCTTGTTTTATTTTATTTTATTAACTTTTACTTATATGGTATGCAGAGACTAACCAAATCTGTAATTACTTATCAATATTTTTTGTGTGATAAATCAACTTACATGTCCTTGAGGCTTAATGTATAAATAGAAAAGAAGTGACAGTTGAAAGCGCTTTCTTACGAATACAAATATTTATAAAAGATGAAAATAATACTATTCTTTAACATCCCCAATACCATCTGCATTTATAGCAAACATTGCTTCACTCTCAGGCAAACAAGGTGAATCATAAATTTTACATATTCTAGTTTCCCCCCTGCCTTTACGCAAATACAGTCTTGTAGTACTGGCATGTGCTATAATATTACCACCAATTGGCTTTTTCTGATCTCCACCAAACATACTTGCTGCACCATCAACCTGTGCAACAACTTGGTTTGTTATAACAACTGCAACACCATGCTCATCAGCTATTCTCAGCAACATTCTAAGGAATCTGGCTAAATGCATTTGTCTAGCAGATAATTCTCCTCTTCCAGAATAGTCAGTACGGTATAGGCCAGTTGCACTATCCACTATCAGTAATGCATATCTAGACTCTGTCATCATAGCACTAGCCTGAATTAATAACTGTGTTTGGTGATCTGTATTGTAAGCTCTGGCACAAGCTACATTGTCTAAAACATTATCCCCTGCCACATTATACCTTCCTGCAACAGCTATTAATCTTTCAGGTCTAAAAGTTCCTTCTGTATCTATATAAAGACATTTCCCTTCTGCACCACCCATATCTATGGGTAATTGACAATTGACTGCAAGTGTATGACACAACTGAGTTTTACCTGACCTGAATTCCCCAAAAATTTCTGTAATAGAACCTGTCTCTATACCACCCCCTAACAATCTATCCAATTCAGCGGAACCAGTTGTTACAAAAACAATATGTGATCTAGTTTGATGAATTTCAGTAGCACTTTTAAAACCCATCACAACCAATTTTGAAGCTTCTTGCAAAATTTTATCTGCCTTGGCTTCACTAATACCTTTGATGTTAATCAAATGCTTTTTGGGAGCATAAGCTACAGCTTCTACAGTATAGTAACCAGCTTCCTCTAATTTTTTTACGTCTCCTGCTGTGATTCCATTTCTCTGAAAAACAGACATATTCATTCAATTGTTTGCGAATAAACTAAACGAGGAATAACCAAAAGATGTAAAAATCGACTTACTTCGAGAGTTTTTATTAATTTTGCTTGAGGATTATAGTCCTCAAATTCTTCCTCAACCGGAAGGGTGGCTGTCGTAGCTGTGGCTGACATTTTTCGATATTACTTAGAAGCTTTTAAATGAAAGATTATATCTGCAATAAAAGGAAAACACAGATTCGAAGGCAGGGTTAACGTTGCGTCAAAATGTTATGACACCGTTAACGGCGAAGCATCTCCCAATCACATTATTAGTATTAATCAAACTTTACAAATGCATGTTTTCATTGCTCTTACAAGATACTATATAAAGTTAAGTTGCATTGTTTGTTTGAATTTAAAAAGTATCTGACAACAGAGGTGTTTTGCACGTGAGTCGGCGCAACAAAATGTACTATTTATACAAAGGCTTGTAGATGAGTTCGTACATCCAATCACATTCGACCATTCCGTATTCTACCAATTAAAATAAATAGTATATAAGTTATACACGCTACTATACAGAAAAAAATATATAAAGGTATCAAATAGGAATACAAATATAGTTAAAACACAAATAGTGGCGATAGAGTAAGAAAATGTACATTAGACCTAGTTACATTTTTGAGCTAAAATACAACAGACCAATGAGATATTTCGCAAATCACATGATTCTAGTATCAAATAAAAATGGCGCAAACTTGCTTCTTGCAGCGCCATCGGTGGGAAAACGCCCAAGTTTGTAGTGAAAATAGTTCTTATTGTTCTTGTTAGATGACGCCACTAACTAATAAATCGATAATTATGGTATTTACAAATATAAAAGTATATGTATGTCTAAATAATATTTTCAAAGAGTATATTGTAGTGTTGTAAAGCAAAGAATCGTATTACTTATGCATTTATGAGTAAAAAAGAATAATTGATCAAACGTATCAGTGGCGCCATCTTACAAAAATGATGGGAACTATTTTCACTACAAACTTGGGTGTTTTCCCACCGATGGCGCCACTTAAAACCAGTATTAGTTTAGTATACTTTTATTTATTATTTTTATTTATTATTCTTGAATTGAGAAATGAAATTAGAACTGAAACAATGTACTTAAAACCAAGACAAAGTTTCATGCCAAAAATTTAACATTTACGTGTACAATTCGTGCACAAATTATAGAATAGGTATGTGTCACATTACATGTCTAATAAACAACTGTTATTTTGTATGTTTTCAATCCTCATATATTTAATTGTTCCCCTAATAATATAATGAAATAGACTGCGAGGATTGATGGTATCTGGAAAATTGTAATAAAAGCTAGCAAGGTAGATTCCAAGTCAATTCAAATACGAATAAAATAAGTTTGAATTCTTCGTTAAACTTCATTGGTAATTGCTGACGTTGTACGAACGATTAAATTAAAAAATTAGATTACGTATTTATCGACGATCAATATCGTACGTTTCTATCAAAGATGTCTCTTCGTTCGATAGACAGAGAAGAAAATGAAGGAAGAGAAAAAGGTCAGGAACGAAGGGTATTAGGTCGAGACAAGACGAATGCGATTCGTTGCGATATCCGACTGTCGAGATAATTACTTATCCCTCCCTAAAGTGTTCTCAGAAGGGGAGACGTTCTATGAATATCATATGTTTTTATGCGTGATTCTTCGTTGAAGCATCGTTGGATTAACAACAACAGCAGATATATCCTTGTTATGACAATGGCGACTTTTCGTAAGAAGCACCTTTGTTCGTCGAACGTAGCTGTAAGCGCCGTATTTTTCGATCTGGACAACACTCTCATCGAGACTAGGAAGGGCGACAATCAGACGTGTCGGAAGGTATGCTAATGTATTTGAAATAATATCGTGTATAGAAACGGTCAGTATTACTCATGTACCAGAAATATGTGCGTGTATGTTTCATCCTAGCGAATAAGCGAAAAACGAACCTTCGATTTAACGTCAGAGAAACCGCGAAAGGTCACACTCGTGTCGATAATAAGTCGTTTAATTAGTTCGTGTAGTACATGTATTTTGCTTGTTGTTTTTCTTCCATTATGGAGAATTCTCTAGGAATTACGTTCACTCTCTCTCACTTCCGTTTGTATATGAAGATCGCACGAAAATAGAAACCTCTGTGTAATACGAGCCGACTCCCAGATATAGAGCTTTCTCTCGAACGGTTATTTTCGACCGATCCTACTGGTACTGTCCAGACGCTCAACATAACGTAGAAAAAGCGTGCAAGCACGTTACTGAAGGTTTTCACGATCCCAAGATACCAGTCCGAGCGTACAAAAGATTGCGTACTACGCGTTATCGTGAAGAAAGGTTATGGCGGTCACTTACTGAAAACAGTATACGTTTCAAATATTTTTCTTTAAGCGAATTTCAGGGAAAATAGTGACGTAAATAATTTTCAGTGTTATTCTCTTTTTAACGTAAGAATCAGTGAGCCTTATTAACCAATAACCGATGACTTATATGTAAAAGGGAATCGCGAACGTCATTAACCTTACATTGGCAATAATCCATTGGGTTGTAATGTATACGCGTTTGTGGAATAACGTTCGTAGTGGTACAGCTTTATTTTTATCCCTCTAAGTGAGTGTGTCAAAGGGCAAGGCTAGTTCCAAAGGGGTTCATTCTGGGAGTACTGCCAGTTGGCTTTTGACTGTGTCATGTGAAAGATGCACTCTTCTGTGAAACCTTGTTGAATCCTTCGTAAATAATTGTCGACAAGCTTCATTCGAAAGATTGTTATCACGAAGTTTACAAAAACGTTCTGGGAACGTTAAAATAGTATTCGATTTTGTTGAAATTTTAACACAAAACCATAACAATGAGTATCCCAGAGGGTGTGAAGAAGTGTGTGGCAATTTTAAAGGCAGTAGAGCATGACTCTGAAAAATTTGCTGCATTGTTCATGGTTACAAAATTAGTGGACAGTAAGGATTGTACACCGGCAGTTAAAAAGATATTATTCGAAGCTATCGGCTCAAAGTTCCTAAAAAAGTTGTTGTCTTCTCAAACAGTTCCTGTGGATTGTCCCCCACAAGTGTATAAATCTGTAGCATTGTCTATACTTTCTGCCTTCTGTGGAGAACCAGAGTTAGCATCTCACTCTGATATGATTTCTTTTGTACCTGCATTACTTGACATTGTATCTCAAGTTGATGAAGATGCAGCTGATGATATGTTAATTATTGTTAGCGAAGCATATACATGTTTGCAAAATATTGCGCAATATCCACCAGGGCAGAAAGCTTTACTTGAACAGAAAGCAATTTCAAAAATGTGTGATATATATTCTGAAAAAAGTTTTCAAACCGATCAAGCTTTGAATATTTTAGTCATGTTAGTTGGAAGATTTGGTCCAGATGCTTGGGATGCAACAGATACTGCACCCTTTCATGCTATCATAAATAAAATTGCATTAGACTTTGAAACTGATCACACTGAAAGGAAATTTGAATTATGTACAATTTTGCAAGCTTTATTAATGTCGTGTAGGAGAGACACTGTTATTGAAACCTCTAAAGAGGAAACTTGGCCATCTAGCATTCATAAAGCTTTATTTGACATTCTTGGATCAAAAATAGGAAAAAGTCAACGTGATCCAGCATTGAAGCTTGCTTCTGTAATGATGGATCTGTTAGGGGCAGAATGGAGTTTGTCTGATAAAGAGAGACCTAAAGCATTTTTCTTACTTTTGATTCAACTGGCATCCATAGAAGTTAGGATGCAGTTGGAGGGAAAACAACTTAAAGGTATCATGGCAAATTCTGATTTAATTACATCCTGCTTTGTAATTCTCGAAATTTCTCTTACATACATCACCACTGATCAGTTAGATTTAGAAGAGAAAGAGAAACAGTCATTATATACAGCCTTGAAGGGAGCTTTTGCTGCAGTTATAGGTTTACTTACAGCAGTCTCTAAAATGAAAGATTTAACAGATATTAAAGAACGAGTATTTATCTGTGCAGTGATAAGAGTACTGGCAGCATGGCTTGCTCAAGAAACAAAAGCCATGCGTCCACAAGTTCATGCAGTTTTGCCATATATTCTGTCTGTAGCTAATGACACCTTCTATGCTTACCGAAACAGAAAATTAGCAGAAAAAGCTAAAACAAATGCTAAAGTCAAAAGTGAGGAAGGAACAACATCAGAAGAATCAGTTGTTCAGGATCCTTTAAGCGAAATTGATCTCTTGAGATTATTATTACCAGCTTTATGCTATTTAACAGTTGAAGAGGAAGCTAGAAAAATTTTACTTAAACATAAACAAGAAGAAGTCTTGTTTGAATGTTTGTCTTATCATTGGACAATTGTTCATTATGTAAAGCCACCAGTGCCAAGATCAGAGAGACTGAAAGCATTAAAAGAAGCAGAAAAAGGAGATGATTTAGAATTTCACGTTTCAGACGCGATGAAAGATTCAAGAACAGCCATGGTGTCTGTATGCAATGTTTTAATGAATGTCACTGTATTAGAGCCAAAATTGGTAGAAGAGTCGACAGTATTTGTTTCCTTATTGAAATTTATTTTCAATAATCTTCCAGAACTTAAACAAATTCCAGAAAATTTAGTGTTGCACGGTCATCTAGCAGTTTTGGGATTGTTGTTATTAAAACAACAAGCAAAACGTATTAAAAAAAATGATTTTTCTATATGTCGATATATTCAAGCTACTATAAGGTTTTTATGGGATGCATACATTATCGACGAGAGTAACGATCCAACCGAACTTGTTGTTTCTATGCCATATAAAGAAAGATGGATGGAAATTATGGAACTGTGGTTCCTTGGAATGCAAACAATGGCTGCAGTTTTGCAAGTAGTACCTTGGCTTTCTCAATTCACTTTGGAGTCAGGTTGGGCTGAAGAAATGGTTGAAACTCTTAAAAAAGTAAAAATAGGAAGTCTTCAGCCAAAAGAAAAATCTGCTTTTGAAGATCTATTATGTCATTTAGTTAAAGCAGATGAAAACATTGCTTCTGTTTTGAAAAAATGTGGAGTTTTAACTGTGTGCAGAAATCATCGTATGATGGAACTTGGAAAACAACTTTTTGGAGATTAACGCAACATGGAAAACATTTGTTACAATATTCTTTTAATGTTTAATGCCTAAACTGAACGAACGACAATTTATGTTCTTGTTGAAAAAACAAAATATAATTATGTACTTTATTCATCACACAATATTCTTTAGAATGCAGACTTGCATATAAGTACCTCTTGTAACATGAACTTGTTTTGTCAAAATAACATAGTCTAGTAGTGTGTTGTCTGCAATTTTGTGAAGCTGTCATAGTCCAAATATAAATTTATGTGGCAATCTTATCTGGAAATAGTTTTCTGGCAAGCAAAGGAATCAATGAATTTCTCAATGGACTATACATGTTGTAAAGCTTAAATGTTGAAGTACATTTCTGCTCAGAAGTATTTGATTGTTCTCTATATGTATATTTGATAAAAGAGTAAAAGATTAAATGTCATCTTTAAGATTTTTTTAATGTGTCTACATTCTGATAGTAAATGAAAATAAATTTTTATTGTAACAGACACATGATCAAATACTTTTGAACGGTAGTGGATATTTCAAATCAAAATATTTTTACATTTTATATATATTCATAGGCTACTAAAAATTTTTACAAGATAGACATATATTTACTATTGATGTAGTTTTAGAATGTATATACTTTAAAAAACGTTTATGTATAATGAATTGTTTTGTAAAATAACAAATGGTCTTATTAAATTGAATTGTTTTTTTAAAGTATTATCTCTTTTAAATTATTACCCATCTCGATATTAAACAATAAGAAAATTTCAGTAATTAAATTTGTTGAATCATATCAAAGTTATTTTGGATGTTACAAAAAACTTATGACATATGGACAAAAATAATAAATATAAATATTAACATCCAACAACTAAGGCTTTTAGGGTTGAAGTAATATAAGTTTGTTGTTGGCACAACTGATTTTGTTGTGATTACAGCAACGACCGCGGGTGCCACTTCGAGTGTCCACTAATCGGCTCGAGTATTTCAATGAATCAATGCATTTTCTAGGTAATCATCAAAATCTGAATTAAGTGACCTAAATTCCTAACTGATCGTTTGTGTCCTTTTCTCCCAAAACTTAGTTATATTATACAAATCATTAAAGTCCACATTCAGTACATGCTATTTCATCATTCTTTACATACATATTTCAGTTTCTAATGAAATTGATAAAACTAGATCATTGTTTTCAAACATTAAAATACATGATTATAATATTGTATTGAATGTGGAAATCAATTGCATTCTCCTTTAGTATGTACTCTGTATTCTGTTTATTATTTCTTGTGATATTACTTGACATGTTAAAACAGTATTTCTAATAGATTGTATTCTAAATTTATCTACAGTTGGCTGATGAATTAACACAAGAATATGGCATCCCTGAAGATGTATCTGTCAAGCTGACAGCAACATATTTGAAGCTCTTTAGAAAGTGTCCTGATAATGTGATTTATACTTTGGACGTTTGGCGTACAACTCTGTGGAGTAAAGCACTTGGAGAGAAATACTCATATCTAGCAAAAAGGATATACGAGCGATGGTTGTATTTACGATATTATTATTTGGCACTGTCGTCAGATGTAATTTCTATGATCAGACAGTTGAGGAAAAAATACCTCTTAGGCTTGATTACAAACGGCCCTTCCAATGCACAATGGGAAAAAATACGTAAACTTTCGCTCGAGCAATACTTCGATATCATCCTAGTATCTGGCGATTTACCATGGGAAAAACCACACAGAGAAATATTCAGAAGAGCATGTCGATTTTTAAATGTTAAGTCAGAGAAATGCATAATGGTTGGTGATAAACTCGAAACCGATATTCTAGGTACATTATTTTTTATTGTACTATACTTGTTTATTAAACAAACTGAATGCAATTAAAATAAAGCGAATATTTTATGTAGGAGGAATTGAAGCAGGTCTGGGAGGTACAGTTTGGATTCCGATCTCGGACAAGCCACATTTATTAGAGGAAGATCCACAACCAGATTTTACTATAAGTCATATAACAGATATATTAAATATTTTAAACAGAGGACCTGATGCACCAGAATTAGAAGATTCTTCTTCAAATGCATCCGACGGCAGCTGATGAGAAAACAAATTATTTTTTTTTATTTTTCATAAATTATCAGAGTTACTGGGAAATTTTTGCATACTAAACTTTCTTCATTTTATTTAAACTCGAAATATTTTCCTCGCAAGTAAGTACTGTTTATTATATAGCTTACTGCAATATGTAATTTGTGTTATTTGCTAAAAAATAATTCAGAGACATCTTCCAAAAATTTCTGATTACCATGGCACTAAATAGAAGAAGATGAAAGAATATTTAACTGTTTGTACTACGAGGTTTTTTTTTTTTTTTTTTAAGTATGTTTTCCCCGCGACTAAGAATTTCTATCTTAATTTTTACATCGTATACATGACACTTAAACTGCTTTTTTATTTTTCTTGAATTTTTTTGTAGTATTTTCTACTTAATTTACCATTTTAAAAGCAGCTACAACTTCACGAAAACTGAATATGTGAATGTACTATAAGTGAAAAAAATGCAACTTACGTACAAAGTGCACGAGCACGTTTGCACCTGTGTATTAATATGAAAAGTATATACTGTTAATGAAAGATAACCATTTTAGTTTTATATTCTATGTATACTTATGTGTAATGTATACATTATATATAATAGGCTCTGTACAATGTTACAAACTATATTGTAGGCATGTAAACATATGTTTAATATATAAATACTATATATTGTATAAACAGATCACATACATATTGTAATTACATGTGTACATCTAAAACATGTATTTTTTCACTACATATTTTATCTTTGTTGATAACGTAGTGTATAGGAATGAAACAGAACTGATATTGTAAAAATGATGGAAATACTTAAAGAGACACAACTAATAAAACGAACACGTTTTCCATTTAATATTTTTTAAATGTTCATTTTTTTGTATAATTAATTACTATGCAATTATTTGTTTTTTATGCTTGTACTTCTTTGTCTTCTAGTATCATGAGATCACTAGTTGTGGAACCTTTTTCTTGTTGCGAATCGCTTAACGTTTCTACACTGAGATCAATCCGATCACGTTCGCTGACTACATTGTCATCGTTTGATCCTCCTGGTCTCGTTCGCATCTAGAAGATATTTATCTCGATAATAGTGCAGAATTGTGAAAAAGATGTATCGTATTGGCCGCAAATTAAGTTATGTACCAAATCTACAGGAATTTCATCTTTGCTTATGGTAGAAAGTCTCTTATAAATCTGTTGAGCTTGTTCAGGATTAATGTTAGATTCTATCAATGACGAAAGAATATCTCTCTCTGTTATAATTAATTCCGGATTGGGATCGATTAATACAACCGATTTATTATTACTGTTCGATTTACGCTGACTCTCGGGTGCTTCGTAATTCTTTAGCTTTTCCATGATCTTATTTTCGTTCAGAACTTTTGGCGGGGTCGGTGATTGAAATGTCAAATTATTAAATTTTCGAGAGTGAACGAGATCTTTTAATTCCTCAGCATCCTGATCATCCGACATATTCAAAGCGTCTTTTAACTGATAAATTTCGTACATCATTTTATTCTGTTCAGAGGTAGGGAAACTATTATTCTTTCGTTTCTATTGAATAAATATAATTTAAATAATATTGAACTAAGTGTGATTCTGACCATACTTAGAAGTGTCTCATTTTTTTTTAAATGCTTCTGAAACACATCTTGCAATTGTTCGTCAGTATAAAGGCCATTTTGTATTATTTCGCAGGTAATGTCGTACACGAATTTCGCATATTTTGCTTCTTCCTCGTCTTTCATACACGTTTCCTGATTACACGTTGGATCCGTGTATTCTTTAGGAGTTTCAATTTTATCGTAACTTCTCGATGAACTTACCGTCATCGAAAGATGATTGATTTCTTGTGTCAAAAAATCAGTAGCGGTTTGGTAAACCATCGAATCTTCTTCATAACTATCGAGCATATTATTTAACATAACAGTAAGTAGTGGATGCTTGATGTTAGGAAGAAGGAGCATTTTTTATTGAAAATTTTATTCACCTGTGTTCCGACAAGTCTTGAAACTTTAACGCGGCTTTTGTAGCTTTTACTTGTCGATCATTAGAAATAAATGGCTCTGTCTTATTCGTTTTCAACGTTGTTGAACTCGGATAAATTACACGATTATGCAGTCTCGATCGTGAACAAACCATACCATAACCATAATGGTTAGCTAAATAGCTTTGATCTTCGCGCTGGCATAGACACTTTGAGTCATCACTTCTTCGTAATAAGTCCTATTTATCAAAACAGTCCTATTTACCAGAAACACCCTGTATAGCAATGTATATTTTGCATTTATGACATACAGAGTGTTTCATATAAAGTGTTACAAGCTAAAGATTCATATTTGCAATGAAATGACTCAAAGTGCAAAGGGTTAGGGTATGACTGAGCTAGAACATGAATAATTTACCGCTGGATGATGAAGGGTGTCGTATGCCAACACATCGATTATATCATTCTTAATCTCTCGTCCAACGATTCGTGGCCTACAATCAGGTTGTCTACAGAACCGTTTTCTTTTGCGTGTAAAGTTTTTGTTTTTGGCATCGACAACACACTTCGCCATCAAAACGCGTCGTAAATGCGAACTCATTGAATTATATGCTGCCAATTGTTCAAAGTAGTTTTGCCCATTTTGATTGTACGCTGCGTACAAAATGCTGCAGGTTATTACAAATTTAATAGCGCAAAAAATAGTTATATCGCGTTATTCATATCAATATATCTACATTTACGCATTTAGAAATGATCGATCGTGTACAATAAAGCGGTCGTATCGTTCATACCAGTACTTTTAAGATTAACTTCACTCCTATTGTTTTTCGTCATTTTTCGATAAGTATATTATTTCGTGAGTCTGTGTTGTACGAAGCCGAGAAATATTTACTTCACTGAGAATTTTGAGCAACGACCGGTAAACAATTGTCTTTTAGTTTTAGCTGACAATCATGTTTTTACGTGAACATGTACACTCGACTTGCTGAAAATTGTTTTACTTTATGTTGCTAAGCAACTTTCCCAAATTCATTATAGACATAGTCGGTACATGAAGGACATGGACGATTAATCGTTCAATCAAATGAACGTCGCGAATAATTTACTGTTTTATTCGTTATCTATTATTCGAATAAAATTTGATTCATCTTTATTCCTCCACTTGTTCGTGCCTGTACGAACCTGATACGTGATTGGCTGCATCATCATACGTATTTTATACGTTGTTTCTATGAAGGTTGTGGATTGTAGCAGCCGATAAAGAGGAACTGGGAAAGGAAGGCAAAGAAGATCCGTGACGAATAACGTATACACAACGCCGACAGGTTCTCCACAGTCTCTTAAAAATTAGACCTTCCGTCTTCGTAACATATATAAACTCTGATTAACATCGAAGTCTGACAACTGTCAAATGACAAGCCCACTTCAAAAATTACGTTCCGAAGATTGAAATGGCAGCAGAGATAAAGCCCACACCAGGTGTAAATCATGACAAATTCAGCACGAGCCGCAAACCTGTGTTATTGTCGAAATTGGAAGGATGTAATGATGATGTTAATGCAGCGATCATTATACCGCGCGAAGAAGGTGTAATTAGCGTTTGTGATGATAGGTATATGAGACAATCTTTTTTCTATATTGAAACTTTATTATACTTATGTGATCATTCAAGAAGTGAACTTGAATTTTTTTTTAAAATTCTTTACATTTTTGAAATTAAACTTAATACGGTTGCTCTTACGATTTATTTTGTTACGCTTTTTTTATAGAACTGTTAGAGTTTGGTTGAAACGCGATTCTGGTCAATATTGGCCTAGCATTTGTCAATATATGGCTGCTGGTGCAACATCGATGAATTACTGTGTGGAGACTAGGCAACTGTTTGTTGGTTTGGAAAATGGAACTATAAATGTACGTATTATAATGGTATCTTATAGAACTATAAATATTTTTTTTTTATTTCAAAATAGATATGTTAGGTATTACTTCCAGGAATTCATTTTGGAACAAGATTATAATCGAATGACTGCTATGCGTGAATACTTGGCGCATCAAGCAAGAGTTACAGGTGTTATATTTGCATCCAATTGTGAATGGGTTTTAAGTGTAGGTCGAGATAAAATGTTTCAATTACATTGCTCAGAAACAGGTCAAAAGTTAGGGTCCTATCAGACGGATGCTTGGTACACTGCACTGCAGTATCCTTTTTTTTTGTGATATATTATTTGCAACCTACTTCATTTCAATTTGCTTGAATTTAATATTAACATGTTTCCTTAACTAGCACAGATTTGATGCGCAATCAAAACATGCTTTTGTTGGTGATTATTCTGGACAAATAGCAATGTTGAAATTAGACACTAATGGTGTCAGACTAATCACAATATTAAAAGCACATACCGGAAGTATTCACACTTTAGCTTGGGATTGTGAAAAGCAACTCCTATTTTCTGGGAGTTTTGATCAAAATATCATTGTATGGGATATTGGAGGACGACAAGGTACAGCATATGAGCTCCAAGGACATCAGTAAGCATATCTATTTATTACAAAAATGTTCTATTTGAATTTATCTTATATAACTGAATATACAATTTTACAGCAATAAAGTGACAGCACTGTGCTATGCAAGCGCTGAACGCGTGTTGTTGTCTGGAGGAGAAGATGGAGTAATAGTTTGTTGGGATATGGCTGCAAATAGGAAAGAAATAGCAGCATGGGTAGAATCCGATACGTGCCAAGTACGTGGTTATAAGATTAGAAATGTGTTAATAATTCGTCTGTTAATTCAATTTTTATATATTAATATCATTTCAAATTGAGGCTTGTGGAAGACCATTTTTCTGGAATATTAAAGCGATGATGGATCAACGACAATTGGGTTTGAGACAACATCACTGCCGCCATTGTGGTCGTGCCCTATGCGCACGTTGTACGTCGCAACGAATACCTATACCAGCAATGGGTTTTGAATTTGAAGTTAGGGTTTGCGATCCATGCCATATTCAACTTAAAGCTGCAAAGTAAGTAAAGATACTTCAATAAATAAAGCGTTGAGCGAACACGTAATTCATTCCATGTATATGTTATTTAGCCAAACATCTTTAGCATCTTTCCATGACGCGAAACATAATGTCGTTGGAATGGATCTTGACGCTCCCAGACGAAGATTATTAACGATCGGACAAGATCGACTCATTAAAATTTGGGACATTTCCGCACTTCTTCAGTGAACTTCCAAATATGTTTGTTTACAAGTAACGAAATTAATCAAATCATATGATATAAGGGAATATATTGTCATATTTCAATGTAAGAGTGTACTATCCAGAGCCTATTTTTGTGACCATCAAATCACTTTGTTTGATTAACAACCAAATGATTTTTTCTTATATCGCAATTTACTTCTTATAAGAAATTCGAAAATAATAGATCTTTCTATGAAATCGTAATAGTATAGCTATGAAATTTTAAACAAACGTTTAATTTGCAAGCATCTTTTATTTGTAGCAAGTAAAAAAAAAGAGTAACTCATATACTTGTTAAACAAGTAGTTAGTGTTAGTACATATATTTTTTAATATTTCTTATTTAGTGCAATCATATTTGAAAACGACCAAAGTACGAATCAATATACATTATTCGGGATTTCATCTAATTATCTTTGTTATCAATTTATTATAACGAATTACTATTTTGAATAACAAAAATTGAACATAATTTGATTTCGTTAGGTTAGCAAACAACTAAACGTAATCCAAATTTCTTTGTTTTCCTAAGGTACCCGTAAAACACGATTAATTCTTCATTTCTAGATTGTATTAATTGTCTGATCATTAATAATTTGTCATATGTTAACAAAAAAAATAAATTATGCGACATTTTTGGGGAAACATTAAAAATATCTAAACGATAATAATTTATTAAAACAATAAGAGGTTATCAAATAACATAAGTCACTATAGCTCCTAGTCGTTTTATTTGTTGTATCCTTAATTGTTGAATATTATAATTTTTTACCAGCAAACAAGAAAACGTCCCAGATTGACAGGCTAATTGACTCTTTAATGTCCATCAATTTCTCCAATCTTTTGAAAATAGGTAGAGGTTTTGTAAAAGAACCACGAATATGCTTTCGTAAATTTGTTTTAGCAATGCAGTCCAAGTACAGTGATAATGCGCTTCCATAGAAATAGCACTTGTGATTAGAAGGAAGTTTTGATACATATTATGTCACAACGAGGAAACGCAGTGTTTGGAGTTAATTAGCTGTTCATTTTATTTTCTTGACTTTTCCATTAAAAAAATTAATATAAAAGAGAACCAGATTCTGCATTTTCGCCTACACGCTTGAATGTAACTATTTCACGTGTTTCCAGAATTATGTATAAAATTCCTGCATATTACAGATATGTTTACCTTGTTATTATCAATGACAAAATTCTTGGAAAAGTTTGCTTAGCGCGAAGCTTTTGCCGTTGCTTCTAGGACTATCATCGATAACAATGCGGCGTGATATTATACTATAACTTTAGTACCGAACCAATCGAAATACTCGTAAAAGATAGGTCGTTAAAATTAAACTATTCTCGTTACACTAAAATATCGTGTTTATGTATAAAACTGATTTTACGCAACTGTTGAATCGCAACGCACATACATCGCCTATGTTGTTGTTGCTCCTGAAATTTTCACGTATCGATGTGTATATTATAAGTTACGGAAATCGCAATACGTGTATGTGTAACGTTCATGTGAAATTCATATGAAATGAAAATATATTTTCAATGTAAACCATTCGTTTGCCTGTCTCACTCGAATACACATATAAATAAATGTAAAGAATACTGCAATACCGAATGCATGAAAAAAGAGTATCTATTTTTATGACTGGAATTTTTCTGTATTCTTGATATGCGTGATAAAATCACGGAAGACATTATCGATATCTTTCTGTCATTTGGAATTCGAAATTTGTGATATCTTGAAAAATAAATGGACTCACAAATAAACATCTTATCGATTCGAATTGATTTTGTGCGATCGGTATTGCAGAACGACGCCATTCCGACTGCTAACATTATCGATCGATAAAAGAAGATCATAGCGGCGACAGTGTGCAACAGGTTACAGATTCGGTACTACGAATGACGTCACAAGATCATGGCGCCAAGATAAAGGGTCTAGCGATGCAGGGATTGCGCGATAAAGGCGGAATATCTACGGACAGAACAGAATCGCATTGGTAACCAAAGATGGACAAAGTTTTTATGTAAATAGAAAGTTTGGAACAACGAATAAGATTCTGGCCCAATCTCCGATGATAACGTATCTCCGGTTGGTGGGATGGCAGCGTAGTCGAAGGCTTGGAGTGGAACCTGATCGCTACATAGGACGCAGGTACTTTTTCCACCTCTTCTACGGTTTCAGTCGCTTCGCTTCCACCTGGCACGCCCGATTCGAACCGAAGCTCTCCGAGTAGACGCGTTAATGTGCCGGTCACCGTGGCCCATCCTCCGGAACGACTACTGTTGCTTTTCGTGTCCCATTTCCTACTCGTCGTGGTGCCGCGATCTTTCTTTTTTTCACGATTTGTTGCTTCCGAGGGCGCCAACCTCACCGACGATCATCTAGTCACGTCGGACATGAAAAGCGCGCCTTACGTCGCATCCGAAGTGCAGTGCAGTGCCTCTTAATGGAGTGTGCCGACATATAGCCGCTTTCGTCGTGTTTCTCGTTACTCGCACAAGGTACGTTTGAATTCGTTCATTGTGAAACGTTTCGGGGATATCGGTTGCTACCGATCGACGACGTCCCGTTCGATGGAATGCCAAATATCTCGGGTACGCGCGACTGGTTCTCGTTTCGGAATTCGTTCGAGGCGATATCCTCTCGACGACTTCGAAACAGCGTCCTTTTTCCCTCTGTGGATCGGACGGAAACATTACGCCGCTATACGTCAATTCATTACCGTGTTGCATCGACACTTGTAACGATACAGCACCTTCTCGAAACGGGGATGGGTTAAATTCTTAATTAAACGAAAATTGTGAATAACGAAAGGAAGTTGAACAACGTTGTGTATTCGTGGAATGGAAGTTGGATGTTAGGTTAGAGAGGATTTAATTATATTTCACGGTGAACGAATTGTTCGGGTTGAATAAACGTCACGAATAGCTCACGTTGTGTTTTCATTCGTCGCGAGTTACTTGAATAAACTTTTATCCGTCCCTGTCGTGAACAACGTGTGGCTGTACAAGTCGCTATCGTCGAGGAAAAGAATCGTAACGATTTTACGCAATTAGTTCATACACGTACACGTCGACCTTAAAATGCGATAATAGGTAGACAAGATAAGCGTAACTTCCAGATAAAAGGAGTAATACACAGTAGGTTGGAATGTTTACCAAACGATTACGTATTCGATTATAGATTCGTTATTGGCTTCTGTTAATGAAAGTTTGTGACCCAAGTGTACTCTCTCGCAGGAGTCGTTCAACCGATACGGAAACGTTTCGTGCATACCTGCGTACGTGTTCGTGATAAAACTGACACCTTGCGATCGTACGTCGAGCGTGGCTCGACAAGACGTATCGAAATCGGAAAAGAGCACTCGTGGAAAGCGATTGTGACGCAACCTAGAAGACTATTACCTCGGTTTCCTTAAAATTGATTATATATAATCTATTATATAACTGCATGTACAAATTATATTGAATATTCGAATCACTTTTCCTAGGTTTGTCGCGGTTTCGAGCGTAGTTGGTTAGATGTGCGACGCGGTAATGCGTTGTTCGATCACCCGTTGAAGTCTCCGGCATGCTGTGCTGCGCCATTGACCGTTCTCCAGATATTCTCAAAGTCAATGGTTTTTCAAGTTCAAAGGAATAAACTAAAGAATACAAACTAATTTTAGAATGTACACCCTTTGCTATAACTTTCGATTATTTCTACAGCTTCTAAACTCTAAACCTGCTCTGGAACATCCCTTACGTTCCGATCCATTTAATCCAAACCCGGTCGTAGAGATCAAGTCGTTAAGAGGTAATTCAAAAGTACATTTCCTTATGATTGTTTTCTTTCCATGAAAAATAATAAAAAAAGGAACACGTGATTTTATTTCAGACGTAATAGCAAGCTATAGGAATAGTTCCAGTCGCTGGTAGCGGCAACAATTTACTTCACAGTGAATCTCCTCCCGGGTGTATCGCGCAACATTCGATGGCATTCCCGATAATACGAGAAATCGCATCGAGGCGCGAGATTCGCGAGAATTCCAGCAGCCAGCTCGTAACGAACGTTCGGAAGACGTTATATCTTCGTCGTCCTCGAACGCTCCTGCGTGTTATTAGACGCTAAGCGCGCTCGCGGTCTGTCTATTCGAAGAAAAATCACTTCAGCATGCGACGATGATGTCTGGCCCGATCACCGTTACGGTGGAACCAGCACAAGCATAAACCTGTTCGCAAAAGTGGGTTAGGCAGTTTCTGCTACCACCGAGAGGCCGCACGGGCTTCGAGAGCATCCATCGAGGATCCTCTCGGACGAGATCGATCTCTCCTCTTCTCCTCTGTTTTCTTATTGACCAGATCGTCTCGTTTTGTTCGCGACAGAACGATTTATCGCGGAAATTCAAGCGAATCGAATCGAAAAAAAAGTCGAATCCGAGCCACGAACGCCGCTTGAGAAGCGTCGATCGAACGCGACCAAGTTCACGCGTCGCTGGCCGTCAATTTCGTTCGATGGATTCACGTCGAATTATGCTCGCACGAGTGACTCCTGGGTCGACGAACCAATCGACCCGGGTCCTCCTCCTATGCCACGATTTTCGAATATTTCCTTGTCTTTATAGCTTAGAGAACGATTACTCTTAATATCAACCCTTTGAACTCCACGTAATTAGGCTATACGTTAACTCCTTAGACTCTTTCTTAGATTTCATAGATGTTAAAATTTGAAGTCTGCCTTGAAGAGCTCTTTATAATGTTGATGTACATATGTTACTCTTCCTGAAACGCTATTAAAGGACATTTTTACGAAGATCGAACGAATTTTTTCAGGCGGAGTGCCGACAACCACGACTTAAGAGATGGTCATCGTCACGCGGGTGAGTATAGTTTCTTTGCTGTCTGAAATTGCTCGCAGGGAACTGTCCACTCGGTGGTTCGCGCGTTATTATATTACGCTTCCCTGGGATGTTTCCTTCAAAGACGGTCAGTAGGAATCTGTGACAAGTGAAAATGACGGCGGATTCTTTCCCCGCATGAAAAGTCATGCTCAGGAGACACGTGCGCGGTCTCTCCCAACGACGGAGGAGCGCTCGAGATATTCCAGCCTAGATTATCTTCCGTAGATCATCGGATAGCAGCTCCAATGAAAATAAGAGTCAGAGAAATCTCCCACCACTAGGCATTACGACAAACTAGTCAAATTTATTAAATTGTTGCGAGGAGATCATTTGTCAAAATGTCTCCAATACTTTTAAATACAAGTTTGTGAAAATATATCGAAACCCAGTATGAGTTCTGTTCTAGGTGACGAGTCCGATTGTCTTTATCTGCTCGTTTATTCGTAGATCGTATTTTCGCCTTGCAAAAAAAAAGTGGAACGTGCCCAAGACGAGAAATAGTCGATAACCGAACAGATAGGCGTAGGTAACGTACAAGTTTCGATACGAATAATTTGTATTCGCTGTTACGTGTTTTACACTTGCAATCTATTTTCATACGAGTTTTTATTTTGATTATATCGATGTCGTGCGTTCGAATGCATGCGTGCATGTCGATATTGTGACTTGTGTTTGGCTCTTCCAACTTGTAACTCGCTTAATACTCAGCTTCAATTCACAGGAGGATACCAGAAACACACGAATACAGGAGGTACCACGCTTTCTGCGTATTAGAAGCGTTAACCAAGCATGACACCCCAAACAGAGATGGAAAAATTCTACAAATAAAAGATAACTTTATCGAGTAGCAGTCGAATACTTACCGAGTACGAATAGTTTCGCAAGCAGTGCCCCAAATACGTGATAGAATCCAACAGGAAGCGATCCCTTTTGTGTAAAAACAAAAATGAAACTACTCGAGGCCGTTTACGACGATGGCGCGGGGTATATGGGGACGAATGGTCAGTTAATTAGGAATAGTTAACGGTCCTTCATCACTTCGTGAATGCCCTGTGCAGGCGTCTTAGCATTTCGCGCGAGCGAACCAGCCGTCGTATAACGGGACGTGAATCGTTTTACCGGACACGCGTGTGTATCCTCGACTGTATCCTATTCTTTCCCTACGCATGCACGCACACCCTAGCTTAATGGTTCAGAAACCTTTTCGAAGCTCCTCCTCTTGAAAAAAATAGAGTAGAGACGAACAGAATTATCTTTATCTCGCAGTAATACTGTTTTAACAACATCACTCTATTAGTGAGTAACAACGCAATCTTTTTGGTCCAAAGGCCACCATTTTTCTTACTTCACTATTTTCTGTAATAATTTCCAGGAGTTACGGTTCACGCGGAGGATTCTAAAATTCTTGCGACGATTTCCTTTCGAAACCCGCGTTCCTGAAAATCCTAACAATAATATTACGTCTTTATTACTACGTTTGCTGGGTGATAAAATGGCTCATTTTATCACCCAACAAACCAGAACCCTGGCTTAACTGACAGCGCTCGCTCGTTTCCACGCTTCGAACAAAAAACGACTATCACGCAAGGTCGGGTACACGCGACTCGTCGAGCATTTTTCTCTGGAATCGAGGTATACGTGGCATAGCTGGTTTCGAAAGCGCGTGCACCGATGAAAAACAACGGTAGGCGGATTTTTCGTTCCCAAGAGGCTGCGCGGCGGCGGCCGAAAGTAAAACTCCGTGGCGAAGAAGGGCCAAATCGGGACGGTTGCTCGTCTCGAGCTAACGAGCGGATGAGCTCTTCCGATGTTCCGCTGAGGTGAACAATCGGAACGTATACGAATATCAGACGCAGCCTGTGCATTCGTATTGATGCGTCCGTGGAGCACAGAATAGCCTGGAGGTTCTCAATCTTTTACTTGAGAAGAAACAAATGTACCGTTTACACTTGATCTCGTTTCTCTGCTTATCCTCTCTTTGCTGTAACTAGACGATCGCTTAATATGATTTCGCATTTGAATACTCGACAAACAACTCGATAACGCGGATAACATTTGGATATCCGAGTACTCGATCGCATACTCGAATGCCTCTTTCCGTTGCTGTACTAACTTTGGTACTGGTAAGCTCGATGAGATCTCACCTTGGAAAATATTCTAAACGAAAGCGTTTCCTCGTCTTTCTCTTGCCAATCGAGTCTCGCAATTCCCTCTTCGTTCGAACTCGCGCTGGAAGCCACAGCAATACTCGTTCAGCTAACTCAATTATCGCTTGTGGTCATCCCTTCGTGGATTTGAGTAATCCACTAATTTAGTTTATTCCGTTTCACTATCGTAAGAATATTGTCACTCGACCAAAAGCCATCAGCATTGGCAAATAAAACATAAGAAGAATGTCTATTATACCGTAGTTTTACATTACCTACACAAGGATCATGAATATAACAATGTACCCTGCACATCGTGCTGAAGAATCAAGTGCATTAATTATATTATATCCACCACTTTAAACCCCGCGTGACTAGAGAAGTACTCAAGTGTCTTTTAAATGTGTTACGGGATAAGGGTGTTCCCATGGTGAAATGAAAAATTTGTTAAACATCTCTTCCACGCGATAAGATCCTTTTCCTTTCCTGTCCACCGGTCGACGGGGGAAAAATAAACCGCGAAACGCGCGTTTAGATTATCTAATAATGCCAACTACCAGTTATTCAATTAACGCGTCTAAGGTGTCGTGTTTACAGTTACAGCGCGTGCTACCGCGTTCGCTGGCCAACTCTCGAATTAATTTAGGTCAAGCTCGTCAACCGAGTAAACGTTCGCCGCAAACCTTGACATTAGTTTCCTATTCAATTTCCCGACTCTTACGTATGCGTGTCCTTTGAGGCGCGATTCCCGACTGCGGTTCGTTTACCTTCCCTCTTCAACCCGAGGATGGCTTCTAGGGTCTTCGAGGACTCTCTCGAAATCGTGCTTGATCGAATCACGAGATGAGTTGAGGGATCTGGTACCATTTTTGAAAGTGTGAAAGAGAAATCAGGATGAATGTATCTTCATTCTTTCGAGTTGATTCTCTTTCAATAAATAAACATATATTTCCCAATAATAAATCTTCTCCAAGTGAAAGTATTTCTAGATTGCACCGAAACAATTAGCAATTACGTTCATTTTACGACTCGATCCTTCGATTAAAGAAAGGGAACTTGACTTTAAGATATGTAATTGATAGAGTATGCGAAAAGACTGCACGTGCCCTTTGAAACAGTAGGCTCCCCATCTCTGATCTATACGAATGCATATGTATATCCTCCGCTTTGTAACTGAATGCGAGAGCATCAATGGTCCCGCGAGTGGGTCGCGAACGATTGAAGATTACGTGTGAAAAAAAATTCCTTTTCAGGGGGATTACATATGGATCGAACCAATCTCAGGGAGAGAATTTGACGTCGCAATAGGAGCACGAGTGGTTTCCGCGGAAGGCAGGCGCATTCAAGTGAAAGACGACGATAACAAGGTAATCGTTACCTACTTTTCGCGTTCGCCGCGGCGTTTCTCGATTCATCGAGAAGTATGCGCGTTTCGAGCGGCCATATGAGAAAGTGTTGCCTGTTAAACGGCGATTTCGAATACCTCGACCACTAAACGAGCCCTAAAATTCTCAGGAACAATGGCTGACACCGGAAAGACGAATAAAGGCGATGCATGCCACTTCTGTGCAAGGTGTAGAGGATATGATCAGCTTAGGAGACCTCCATGAAGCTGGCATTCTGCGGAATTTGCTGATTCGCTATAACGAGAATCTCATATACGTAAGCGGTGGATATTGAAACAATGCGAACTTCTTGGCGACCCAAGCATATGCTTCTATTCAATTGAAACTTGAAACTGTTGGATTAGGCTTTAGTTATTTTTTTAGCATTTAGTAGATTTATAATACGTGGTCCTTCTTTGGTAGCTTCATTCTACAATAAATAAATTGCAAATAACATGCTTCTATTGCCAAAGAGATTACCGTGTTTGAAATTTCTCCCTAGCATTCGATCAATTTTTAAATGAAAAATTCTAACTGGTTGTTTTTGCGCAGACCTACACAGGCTCCATTCTGGTCGCCGTGAACCCGTATCAAATACTGCCCATATACACCGCAGAGCAAATTAAACTGTACAAGGATCGTAAAATCGGAGAGCTTCCGCCACACATATTCGCTATTGGCGACAACAGTTACGCGCACATGAACCGATACGGCCAAGACCAATGCATAGTGATCAGGTATCCGGTCGCTTCTTTCTCCTTAACGGGGGATTCTGGTTTAAAACAACAAAGACTAACTAGTGATTTAACCTCACACATTTAAAGATCGTCTAAAATGCAATTTAAAAAAAAATAGATTCGTCTGATTGTTCAGAATCCCCCGTAAAACCACTCTGAACGGCTCTTTCCACCTCGTCTCGTTCGTGGCAGAACGGTTTCTCAAATTCACGAATATTTGTGTCTTAGCGGCGAAAGCGGAGCCGGCAAAACGGAAAGTACGAAATTAATTTTGCAATATTTGGCAGCGATCAGCGGCAAACATTCTTGGATCGAACAGCAAATTTTGGAAGCGAATCCGATTCTGGAAGGTATAACGCTCGAACGTGGTAACGCGTGAGCAACTAGGACAAAAGTAGTAAAACGTTGACTCTGGTGTTCTCGTAGCATTCGGCAATGCGAAGACGGTACGAAACGACAATTCGTCCCGCTTTGGGAAGTACATCGACATTCACTTCAACGAGCAGGGCGTGATCGAGGGAGCAAAGATAGAGCAATATCTGTTGGAAAAGTCGCGAATAGTGTCGCAGAGTTTGGACGAGAGAAACTATCACGTGTTCTACTGCATGCTGGCTGGCCTATCGAAGGAGGAAAAGCAGAAGCTGGAGCTGGAGGACGCGTCGTCCTACAAGTATCTTACAGGAGTAAGATTTCTTATGTGAATCATCGTTAACACGCGAGGACATTTTTTCTAAATAGATACTATTTTCAGGGTGGCAGCATCACGTGCGAAGGTCGAGACGATGCCGCAGAATTTGCAGACATTAGATCAGCCATGAAAGTTCTACTTTTCACCGATGCTGAGATATGGGAAGTCCTCAAACTGCTCGCCGCTCTGTTGCACACGGGGAACGTTAAATACAGAGCCACGGTTGTAGGTAAGCGCGACAATTCCTACTCCACACGATTGTCGAAGCTTTAACATCGGACATATTTCAATTCTATCACGATTCTCCAGACAATTTGGACGCTACGGAGATACCAGAGCAGACGAACGTGCGGAGAGTGGCGCATCTGTTAGGCGTACCTGTTCAGTCTCTAATAGACGCTCTCACCCGCAGAACGATATTTGCTCACGGTGAGACGGTTGTAAGTAACGTGTAACTTGCGTAATTCTTATTACCTATATCTGAAGAAGCAATGTCATCCCTCTATTTTCTTAATACCATGAAATGCAAATAATATGGAGATGCTCCATCGTAGCAGCATCGTTTATCTGCTGTATCGTAACGCGTGCGCAGGTTTCCACGCTATCCAGGGAGCAGTCAGTTGACATCCGAGACGCCTTCGTGAAGGGGATATACGGACGATTGTTCGTGCACATCGTGAAAAAAATTAACGAGGCCATCTACAGACCCAAGAACACCTCTCGAAGCGCCATAGGTGTCCTGGATATATTCGGCTTCGAGAATTTCAATCACAACAGCTTCGAGCAGTTCTGCATCAATTACGCGAACGAGAACCTTCAGCAGTTCTTCGTGCAGCACATCTTCAAGTTGGAACAAGAAGAGTACAATCACGAGGGGATCAACTGGCAGCATATAGAGTTCGTTGACAATCAAGACGCGTTGGATTTGATAGCCATCAAGCAGCTGAACATCATGGCGCTGATCGATGAGGAGTCCAAGTTCCCAAAAGGAACGGACCAAACGATGCTGGCGAAGATACACAAAACACACGGAAGCCATCGAAATTACCTGAAACCAAAGTCGGACATCAATACGTCGTTCGGTTTGAATCACTTCGCTGGAGTTGTCTTCTACGATACCAGAAGCTTCCTGGAGAAGAACAGGGATACGTTCAGTGCCGACTTGCTCCAGCTTATTCACATATCGTCGAACAAGTTTTTGCAGACCTGTTTCGCCGAGGACATAGGCATGGGTTCAGAGACGAGGAAACGGGCGCCCACTCTGTCCACCCAGTTCAAAAAGTCTCTGGACTGTCTTATGAGAACGTTGTGCAGCTGTCAGCCTTTCTTCATCAGATGCATCAAGCCTAACGAATATAAAAAGCCGATGATGTTCGACAGGGGTCTCTGTTGCCGACAATTAAGATACTCTGGTATGATGGAGACGATTCGAATTCGTAGAGCTGGTTACCCGATCAGACATTCGTTCCCAGAGTTCGTCGAACGGTATCGATTTCTTATCTTTGGCATACCCCCGTCTCATAAGGTCGACTGCCGTGCAGCCACCTCCAAAATTTGCCACATAGTTCTAGGAAGGTCTGACTACCAGCTTGGCCATACGAAAGTCTTCCTCAAAGACGCTCACGACCTGTTCCTCGAGCAGGAACGCGACCGCGTGCTCACTCGGAAGATTCTCATATTGCAACGCAACATCCGCGGTTGGGTCTATAGAAGAAGATTCCTCCGCATGAGAGCCGCTGCAACGATCATTCAAAAATATTGGAGAGGTTACGCGCAACGTCAACGATACAAACGCATGCGTATCGGTTACATGAGGCTTCAGGCGCTCATCAGATCACGAGTCCTGTCACACAGATTTCGACATCTACGAGGGCACATAGTCGCCCTACAGGCACGTGCCAGAGGCCACTTAGTGCGCAAAATGTATCAGAAGAAGCTGTGGGCCATCGTGAAGATACAGGCTCACGTTCGTAGATTGATCGCCCAGAGACGGTACAAGAAGATCAAGTATGAGTATCGTCTTCACGTCGAAGCTTTGAGACTTCGGAAGAAGGAGGAGCGGGAACTCAAGGACCAAGGGAACAAGAGGGCGAAAGAGATCGCCGAGCAGAACTACAGAGAACGGATGCAGGAACTGGAAAGGAAAGAAATCGAGATGGAGCTCGAGGATCGGCGTAGAATGGAAATCAAGAAGAACTTGATCAACGACGCGGCGAAGAAGCAGGACGAGCCTGTAGATGATAGCAAACTGGTGGAAGCAATGTTCGACTTTTTGCCTGACTCCAGCAGCGAGGCTCCCACTCCCGCGAGGGAAACTTCCGTTTTCAATGACCTGCCTGCCCCAAAGGCAGACCAGCAAGAGATCATCAGTCCTGTTCAAACCGCCTCGGAGGACGAGGAGGACTTGTCCGAGTTCAAGTTCCAGAAATTCGCTGCGACCTATTTCCAGGGGAACATCACGCATCAATATTCCAGGAAACCGTTAAAGCACCCTCTGCTACCTTTGCACACGCAAGGAGACCAGCTGGCCGCGCAGGCTCTGTGGATCACTATACTTCGTTTCACTGGCGACCTACCCGAGCCTAGGTTCCACACGATGGATAGAGACACAACGTCGGTGATGTCGAAAGTAACGGCTACCCTGGGTCGTAATTTCATACGGAGCAAAGAGTTCCAGGAGGCCCAGATGATGGGCGTGGATCCAGAGGCGTTCCTCAGACAAAAACCGCGATCGATCAGGCACAAGTTGGTCTCGTTGACCTTGAAGCGAAAGAACAAATTAGGAGAGGACGTTAGGCGGAAGTTGCAGGAGGACGAATACACAGCGGACAGCTATCAGTCGTGGCTGGAAGCCAGACCCACGTCGAATCTTGAGAAACTCCACTTCATCATCGGGCACGGAATACTCCGCGCGGAACTCAGGGACGAGATTTACTGTCAGATCTGTAAACAACTGACGAACAATCCATCCAAATCATCGCACGCTCGTGGATGGATTTTGTTATCGCTTTGCGTGGGTTGCTTCGCTCCTTCTGAGAAGTTTGTCAACTATTTACGCGCATTTATCAGAGAGGGACCTCCAGGATACGCGCCATACTGTGAGGATCGATTGAAAAGAACGTTCAACAACGGGACACGTAACCAACCCCCCAGCTGGCTAGAGCTTCAAGCTACCAAGTCGAAGAAACCGATCATGTTACCCATCACGTTCATGGACGGGAACACGAAGACCCTCCTGGCTGATTCAGCGACTACTGCTAGGGAACTGTGCAATCAACTGTCTGATAAAATATCTCTTCGCGATCAATTCGGTTTCTCCCTTTACATAGCGTTGTTCGACAAAGTCTCGTCCTTGGGCAGCGGTGGAGACCATGTAATGGACGCCATTTCTCAATGCGAGCAGTATGCTAAAGAACAAGGTGCTCAGGAACGAAACGCTCCGTGGAGATTGTTCTTCAGGAAGGAGATATTCGCGCCATGGCATGAACCGACAGAAGATCAAGTCGCCACAAACTTAATATATCAGCAGGTCGTCAGGGGCGTGAAATTCGGCGAGTACCGCTGCGACAAGGAGGAAGACTTGGCGATGATCGCTGCGCAACAATATTACATAGAGTACCACACGGACATGAATGTCGACAGATTGTACACCCTCTTACCCAATTACATTCCTGATTACTGCCTGACTGGCATCGACAAAGCGATAGACAGATGGGGTCATCTGGTTCTACAAGCATATAAAAAGGTACAACAACTGATTGCAATTAAAGATTCAATTATTTGTATTTTTAACTTGTTCTTTGACTTGTATTTTTATTACAGAGTTACTATCTGAAGGAGAAGGTACCTGCCCTGCGCGTCAAGGAAGACATAGTGGGCTATGCCAAGTTTAAGTGGCCTTTGCTATTTTCTCGTTTCTACGAAGCGTACAGGAACTCTGGCCCGAACTTACCGAAGAACGACGTTATTATAGCTGTGAACTGGACCGGAGTGTACGTCGTGGACGATCAAGAACAAGTGCTTCTGGAATTGTCCTTTCCCGAAATCACCACCGTATCTAGTCAGAAGTATGCGTTTATTTAATTTAAACATTTTCGAATGTTCCATTTTTCCACCAAATTGACGGATATCATCCTGATTTAATTTCCAGAACGAACAAAATATTCACGCAGACGTTCAATTTATCGACGGTGCGAGGAGAAGAGTTCACATTCCAAAGCCCTAACGCCGAAGACATCCGCGACCTGGTGGTATACTTTTTGGAGGGTCTGAAGAAGCGTAGCAAATACGTGATCGCTTTGCAAGATTATAAAGCGCCAGGGGAAGGTTCGTCGTTTCTCTGCTTTCAGAAAGGCGATCTCATTACGTTGGAGGACGAGAGCACAGGCGAGACCGTTCTCAATTCAGGATGGTGCATCGGCACGTGCGAGAGAACCTCAGAGAAGGGCGACTTTCCGGCCGAGACGGTTTATGTTCTGCCTTCGCTGACAAAACCACCCAACGATATATTGGTAAGGCGATCGCAACTATGAAATCATTGACCACCGCTTGTGTGTTACTTTTTACGCATGAAAAATGACGGATGAAATTTTTTTCCAGTCCCTGTTCAGCATCGAAGGAACGGAGAACGGCCGCAAGCTGTATCCGCAACAGGTGAACGGAATAGAACCACGCGATAAACCTCACACGCTTTCAGAATACGCGATCGACCACTTCCGGTAAGTGCTTGCTCTCTACTCAAGCACAATTTAGAGATAAAAAAAGAGTTACCCTTTTTTTTTAAAACTTCATTTCCAATCTAGAACACCGCCAAAGAGAACCATGTCGAAAGCGTTAACTCTGACGACGGCGCGACGCGGTCACACCGACGAATTGTGGCATCATTCTAGAGATCCAATAAAGCAACCTCTCCTGAAGAAATTAATATCCAAAGAGGAGCTAGCCGAAGAAGCGTGTTTCGCTTTCAATGCCATCTTGAAGTACATGGGAGACTTGCCGACGAAAAGACCGCGAGTCGGCAACGAGTACACCGATCTAATTTTCGACGGACCTCTGAAGAATGAAATTTTAAGGGATGAAATTTATTGTCAAATCATGAAACAACTCACTGACAATAGGAACAGATTGAGCGAAGAGCGAGGCTGGGAACTGATGTGGCTCGCCACCGGGCTCTTCACCTGCAGCCAAAGTCTTTTAAAGGTATGCATAATTGCGTCTATTAGCGATTACTGCGGAAACCCATTCGTTTAAAACGGCTCGTTTACTCATTGCAGGAATTAACTCTGTTTTTGCGCACGAGGCGGCATCCCATATCTCAGGACTCTTTACAAAGACTGCAAAAAACTTTACGTAACGGTCAGCGGAAGTATCCGCCGCACCAAGTCGAAGTGGAAGCTATACAGCACAAAACAACGCAAATATTTCACAAAGTTTATTTCCCAGACGATACGGACGAAGTGTGTACTTTCAACGCAGCCATTCTTGTTCCGTTTATTTTAAAAGTGACTCACACGATCTCTCCTGTTGTACAGGCGTTCGAAGTGGACTCATCGACGAGAGCCAAAGACTTCTGTCAAAACATCGCGCAAAGACTCAACCTGCGGTCCGCGGAAGGATTCAGCCTGTTTGTAAAGATTGCCGATAAAGTCATCTCAGTCCCGGAAGGCGACTTCTTCTTCGACTTTGTACGACATTTGACGGATTGGATCAGGAAAGCTCGTCCCTCGCGCGACGGTATGTTTTCAATGACCTTCGAATAAAATATGATAATTGCATTTGCGTATCGGCTGTATAAGATTAACGTTTCACGCAGGTGTCTCGCCCCAATTTACGTACCAAGTCTTTTTTATGAAAAAGTTGTGGACCAACACTGTGCCTGGCAAAGACAGAAACGCCGATCTCATTTTCCATTTCCATCAGGAGCTTCCTAAATTGCTAAGGGGTAAAAAACATTTTCCACTATGTCGATACATACCTCTCCATTTTTTTTACTAACTGATTCATTACTCTGATCGTTGATAGGTTATCATAAATGTACTAAAGAAGAAGCATCGAGATTGGCAGCGTTGGTGTACAGGGTTCGGTTTGGCGAGAGCAAGCAAGAACTCCAAACGATTCCGTAAGTGAAGTATACCATGATAGAGAATATTATTCGAAAGAAATCGCGGGCAATAAAATAACCTAGAACCGATGTTCACAGGCAAATGTTAAGGGAACTCATACCAGGTGATCTAGTTAAGGTACAGAGCGCCAACGATTGGAAAAGATCGATAATAGCGGCATACAATCAGGATGCTGGTAAGATAGAAGACGTATGTTAACGTTAAGTGTAATATGCATTCCAATGATGTCTAACGTAAGTACTGCTTATATAGGAATGAGCCCGGAAGACGCGAAGATAACATTCTTGAAGATCGTTTATCGGTGGCCAACGTTCGGTTCGGCGTTTTTCGAAGTCAAACAAAGCACAGAACCAAATTATCCGGAACTGTTATTAATCGCAATTAATAAGCACGGTGTAAGCCTTATACATCCGCAAACAAAGGTAAGCAGTTACTCGACTATTACGATAATCAGTATTTTCGTCTATGTTGCACGAATGTTTATGTTTCAGGATATACTAGTGACGCATCCTTTTACCAGAATCTCAAATTGGTCTTCGGGCAATACCTATTTTCACATGACAATCGGGAATTTAGTGCGAGGCTCAAAATTATTGTGCGAAACCTCCCTCGGATACAAAATGGACGACCTTCTAACGTCGTATATTTCGTTAATGCTTACTAATATGAATAAACAACGCACGATACGGATAAAGTAAACGCGATATTCGCGTACGTTTCGCGATTCGTCTTTGCAAACCATCACGCGCAGAAATAGTTCTCCGAAACTCAAGACCTTGAAATAACACCGCAATAATTAATTTTATATAGCAAGAAACATTTGATATATAAACGCTCGCGTTATAAATCTTTTAATTTATATACATATACATATATACATATGTATGTGTATACGGTACTAACTAGAGAACGCAACCGTCGTGTGACCATTTTACATACTCATCCGTTAATTTATAATTTAATTGTTACTGTAATCAAGAAGATAAGGGGAATCGTGATTCATGTGTACACAAATAATTAGCTGAAAAAATTGTATATGATTTATTTACAAATAAGATTTTCATATAGTTTTGTAAAATATTATTTTAATATATAGGAGATATAATTAAAGAATTTCACGCTCAAACGTATTCTGTCGCTTCGAGATAAAGACAAATTTGTGTGCAACTAAAACTATTCGATCGAAAGAATCCCAAGTCAACGAACATTCTTCCGAACTTGAGCACTGAGAAATTACGTGCGAACGTACACTCGAAATTGTCTTTCCGATATAACGAGTTTACAATTATTATTCATTGAATATCCGTCCAATGATACATGTAAGGATGTAATTATTATTAATTCGCAATTTATTACTGTGAATAAAGATAATCGTGTTCTTCAGGTACTCGGTGCAAATTTTAATCGTGGGTAAATTCCCATGGAATACATATACCGACATTCCTCGTTTACAATGGATCTCTTCAGGAAGACAATTCCCAAAGCGATCCTATCTCGCTTCCTGCTGAAGATAATTATATTCGATGGTATCTTGAAAAAAGCCTGTACCGATTCTATGAAGTCGAGGAGCCAAGAAACGAACTATTTTCAGCTCATAGTGTTTGCACTCTTTCGATATCGTAAAATTTATTATAGTACACGAATACTATTTCTATTTCCGTGCAACGTTTCTTCTCTCCCTATCAAATAAAATACATTACAAGCACAAGATTCAAAACGACAACGTAAGAAAATATTATACGTATATTTTCTATGATCACAAACAATTAATAATTTTAGGCATTTTTCTATTCTCAAAGGGTTCGATTAAATATCGAAGAATACGCATTCCTTCGGTGCACCCTATTTCTTATAAAAAATCTTCGTTGCACCTCGTCTATTTAATCGTAATTATAACTAACCCCGAATCTTGAGATTTGCATATGACAGAAATCACGCAGCAAGGATTTCGATTCTTATCTTCAGTTAGAAATGCACCGATGCATACGTACTTTTTAAACAAGTACAGTTCCGCTTTTGCGAATATACCGATACCAAGAAATCGATACGTCGATAGGTAGCAAAATTAATATAAAGCGTGCACAGTACAATTTATACGTTAAAGAAGCATAACCGAAGGTTTCACCGGCGAAAATGTATAATACGAAAACTCTGGTAATAAATAACAAACGTCAAGGTGAAACCGCGATACCCGAACACCGCGCAAAATTAATTCGAGTAGCGTTCATTACTCTGACAAGATCCTAACGACTCGCTCTTCGTTTTCTCCCACGTTAAAACTAGAGTTATTTCTATGCCATACGAACAGTTTTGCGAAACTTAGACGTATCTCTGAGATTACACGTAATCGTAGCACAATGAAATCATGATAATCTTGTGAGTCATGCATTGATATATACATAAAATAATATTAAGAGAAATCATAAGGTAAACTCGAGTCGAAAGTCGAAAACAATTTTCGACGCTAGGAAAAAAAGAAGAAGAAATCACGCATGTATCATTGGGTCGTTGATAAAGTTTGTTCCGGTTTTTTAAATAAATAGACGATGTGGAAATGTAAATGCTGTTAAAATGCATTTAGACGAGTTATTTGATGCAAGATTGCAGAGATTCTTCATGATGAGATTTTTATATAGTTGAACAAAATGGTGTCAATTCATAATTTTAATATAAAAACGGAACGAGCTTTGTAAACGACTAATAGATCGACGCGTGCCGTAGATTAAGATCACCCATTCCTGATGGATATCCGTCCAAATGTTTTACGCGAGACTCAGTTTCTTTTTAATAAACACGATGAAGATTGTTTTAATCCTCCAGCCACGGACACGCTAGTATCACTTAATATTATTTTTCTTTTACCATTCTCATATTTTACGACAATTTTAAATAATAAATACAATTTACTTGCATTCTTCAAACAGAAAAGTCTCAAGACCGTCCAGGACTGGAGGGTTAAGGGTAGATCGAAGATAGAGCTGTATAAATGTAGAAAATGTGAGTTAAGAGCACGCGAAAAAATGAGAAGAGAAAATAAAACTACGCGAGCGAATATCCGTATGCGTATATTGCACCGTTTGCCACGCTGTTTCCTGTATTGCAATCAGAATTGAAACCAAACAGGATTTCGTCGATAAAATGACTCTTATCCTTCGGGAACGAACGGAATCGATGTCGAATGCACAACCAGTTTCAGTGATCGATATGCAATTGCACGGACCGAACCGCGAGTTTCGTTGGCTCGTCGAATACGAAAGAAAACGTATCGCGACGAGCCTGAATCGCAAATTTGTCGTCCTGTTCCCATCCTTGTGCCACGCGATTGGCTAAATATTCACATTCGTAGAAAGCTTTTAATCCTAAGAGTGCTATAAATTATTAATTTCTCTCTGTGTAAATCTGTATCAACACTTAAAGCTAAAAACCTACGGTTGGGTTGCGGCGGAGTTGGACATTATTCGATTAATTTCGAATAAATCTTTATCTAGATAAAATGTTATTCGAAGAATTAACAAAACACTTAGTATTTGTGTACCACATGTGATCTTTGTGACTTGTGTAGGTCTTGCCTTATTTTTGTGCTGAATGTATGCTTCGTGTGTGACATTGATTGCATGTTTGCGTGTGACGTGATTTTACTTCCGTTCGTGCGGGTTTTTAAATGTTTGTATACCAAAGAAAAATTGCATACAGTACACAAATACTACACACAAGTACTTGTACTCTCTCAACTGTTGACCTCAATCAAAAGCTTACATATATATTTACCCCATAACAATTTGTTTTAATAATATACATCAACCCCGTCTGAAGTCAGCGGTCGAGGGAATAAGAATACTTCTGTGACTTGATGTAAATTATTTCTCGTTATCTAGATAAAAATGTGCTCAACTCTGGGTAGCGGTATGAACATAGGGAAACAATACACGGCACATTGTACACGGTTTCGGACTCGAATAGGTATGTTCTGCGAGAGATAGGCGACGTAGCAAAAGAACTGTTACGTCGTCTTCGTATTGTCTAAACGTCTTGCCGCGTCGTCGACCTGAAGCAGCAGGTCTTTCGTCGCGTACGTTGTCGAGTCACCGTCCCCGTTGGCTGACTCGTTATCGATAGAAATTGGAACTTCGTCGTCGTTCCGCGGATGAACGTTCGTACAGCGGACAGCGTTCGTCTCGCTGCGCCGTAAACTTTGGTGATGCACGGTGTAATTGTCTAGGAAACATCAGAGACCCGGCTGTGGCGGTTGATGGGTGTTCCAGGGTACGTCTGCGATCGCGGGTGGCATACTGGCTTGATTGTGCATGGCTCGAGGAGCTCTCATGATCTCGTCGGCAGGTGGACAATGAGGCCGTGGTCCAGGCTCTGGGGTGTACGTAAACGTTAACCCAGTGGCATAGATGATGCCGTCGTTGCGGACCAGCGAGACGGGCACCTGAGTCGGTTGCCTGACCCAGAGCCACTCGCCTCTGAACTGTGATATATCGGGGACCACGCAGAGCATGCTCTCCTGGCATCTGTACATGGTTTCAGCCTCCACATCGCCAAACCACACCTGAAGATTTGGCGTGAAATTGTCGCCCGTGAGCTCTAGCATCGCTACATCGCCTCCACCGTTCAAGTGCAAACTATGAACAAGTGGTACCGGAGTTACAGGTGACCTGACCGGCCCCATGCCCTCGAAGAACTGATACTCCGCTTTGTCTGTACTGATGATCGTCCAGCAAGCGCCGTCGTTTATCATTTCTTTGTTCGCCTCTTTCGGGCATGGAGTGGCCTGGAATTGTATTATGCGTTCTTGAGACAAACATAAATACATGTGATCCGTGTCCTTCATGTAAAAGGCGCATTTGTGTAGCTGTGAAACAGGATCGTCAGCCTCCAAACTGGCCATCTGTTTGTCCACCTTCCGAATTACTAACCGCGGTAGCGCCATTCCTGTTACGGAACATACTAACTTTACTGTACTGCCATAGTGCACGTAACCGTCCCTCACTTGAAACTCCTCCGACTCGCTCTCGTTGTCGTCCAGTAAGTGTATCGTAAACGCACCCCATTGCGTCGAACTTGCGTGGAAGTTACCGTTTTCCACGTGAAGATAACGCGTACTCACCGTTTGAGATCGCAACCGATTGAACAGTGCCACTTTCGTCCCGCTTGCTATACACAAATCAGCGTTCTTCAACGACTGTTTCTTCTTCGAGGGCTTCGAGATCACCTTGATCCTTTTACTGTGAAATACGCCGATATCGTGACCACTACCATAAAACATTTTCACCGAGAGCATAAAGTGTTTCCTCTTGTCTGAATCGGAAATGTATAGCGTCTTCGCCGCGCAATACTGTTTCCCATTGTTCAGGTCCAATTGTTGCATGTCCTGGTCAGAGTTACCGATACCGATGAAGGCGCAGAGCTGCGCCGATTGTTCGCTCTCTCCTTCGCGAAGCATCTGCTCCTGCCGCATCCTCCAACCGTCGCCAAACAAATAGATACACGGTGGAGGACAGAAGAACCGTTTCTCGTTACCGTACGACTTTTGCGCGACTTTAGCATGAAGAATCACGATAACCATGTCGCTTCTATCGCGCAAGTAACGCTCCATTGCCTCGCGCGTCAACCTTTGATCTTGGTGATCTGGTCTGTAGACGCTAGATCCGAACCTTGGATATACCGACATGACCGAAGTTGGCGAAGGAGGAGATTGCATTCCATGCGCCATCGTAGGCAACCCAAACTGGTGTGGCATATTTAATCTTCCGCTTTTATTCGCTCTACGGTACCACGGAATAGCTAGGTAGGCTGCGTACTATCCTTGTCATCCGTGCATGTCATAATTGCCTCTGTCGCTTCATCTGAAAGAAGTTCAGTCATGGACAATTATAACATGATGCATTTCCTTCTACTACGTTGCTGTAGCATGACTAAAGTTTCATGACAAATGTATTTCTTTCAGTTAGTAATTTATTACTTATAAAAGAAATATTATTTACAGAAGGAAAGCTGAAGTGGAATATGGTTAGAAACAAGACACTATTGTTAAGCCAGAAGTACAAGTTGTTAAACCAAATCAAGATGAAAGATGGAAGGAAAACCCTGAATTTGTTCTAGAAAGTCAAGTGTAAGTTAAAGAATAAGTCGTAACATTGTGTAGTATAATGTGAAACAGTACTATGTTATTATTTACAGGCATCTGAATGCATACAGGTACATAGGAGTCTTTACTTGCTCAAAGCTTTAGCGTGGGAAAGATTTTTGTTTTTCATGATACAAGATGTAATTAACGTAAGGCATCTTTCTTTAAACGAGCTACGAAGAATTACTAGTCTTAGTACAGGAAAGAGGAAATGTGCATATGCACTGTGGGAACTAAGCTGAGCTCATTTTTCCTGCATGAATTAAATCACCCTCGTTCATTGTGTCTATACAACCGTGCCTATGTATTTGTAAGTATGCAAGCATTCTTTTACTAATTTTATACTATTTTGTATACTTTTTTCAACTGACTTTAATTTCTGATTAGAGCAACTTTGTTGCAATTAGGCACAAAAAGAGATCTCACTCAAAAATCTTTAATAATTCTGTATGTATTTGAAAATGATAGTTAAACATATATGAGAATGATATTTCACAAAAAGAGAAAAACTCATATTTCCTGGTAACGCACGTAATGCCAATTGCCTGACAACAGTCACATGTATATGCTTGTAACTTTTAATTAAATGCACTAAGAATAGACAGGCAAATATGTTATTCCAAGTAAAGCCACTGAAGCAAACTCGATACGTTAGAATTGCTGGTTCACAAAAACTTAGCATGTAAATAAGAAATAAATTTAAATTTCACAACATCTACATGATTATAATTACGTATAGTACTCGATACTAATTACTTTTTCACGTAAAAATAACAAAATTGAAAGAAAAAGATTATGTATGCTAAAAGTGAGGTATTTAAACCATTTCTATAAGCAATATGATAACAGAAATTAAAGATTATATCGGTTTTTCGTATAATTTCCAGTATAAGAAATGATCCAAGAATATTATACGAGTAGAAGACTGAGTAGATCTCTTTCTTAATGAATTATCAAAATACTAACAATCGTTTATTTACCTTTTCGGCACAGGAAAGGTTAAACCGAACAAAAACAGGTTACGTTCTTGACACTCACCTCATTTTCAGTAACAGCTGAAATCCAAACATAAATCCCAATGCATTTTCTAAATTATCGTTTAATCACAACTATCATGCTGCCCGTCGATCCTTCACCATTCGCAAATCCTTTTGCGTCCTCGTCGCTTATTCTCCCTAATCCATTCAAAAAACACCTGTTCACTTTCCGAATTTTCCGAACAGTCTTGCCAACCCTTACAAACTGATCTCGCCGCGCGCGGCACTTTAAATCCAAGGTACGAGTATTACGTTTCGAAGCACTGCCCTAAAACTTTGTATAATTGCGATTGAAAACAGGACACGTTACTTTTATATTTCAAAATTGTAATTTCGTTAGCGTTGGCTTAACTACACGGCTACTTGTTTCGTTAAGCCAACGAAAATATATACAACCTTCCTCGACGATATTCGCCGAGTAACTAAGTTCGAAACGACAACGTAGAGTTATTACTACCGCGTAAGTGGCTGTAGCAGGGACGTATCTACAGAAGGTAGCAAGGCCTTGAGTTTGAAATGGATTTCTCGATTCGTTTGCATTTTGAAAATCGTTCTTTTCTAACACGAAGTATAGGAACAAAACAAAGGTTTACGTTTAAGCTTCTGAACTAGAATGAAAATACATAAAAATGAAGATTGAATGCTCAACTATGTTTTCCTCGACCTGACTGTGTGAAATTTCTCGTGAAATTACAATTGATATATATGGGAAAGAAAGGAATTATACAACTCCAAATTTATCTAGGAAGTTTCAGTAATGGTGTCTATTTGTTCAAATCTTTAATTCAAGTATATGGGTAGCTGCTAAGGGGTTTAGACACTTTGTTACGTTGCTGAGCTGCAGATTCTATTGTTTTACTGTTGTACAATGGCCTGGCCGACCCAAGCGCCTCCAGTTTCCCCTCTTGTTCCCCACCTGACGTGAGCTACTCCCCTCTGCCCCGTAGGTGCCGTGGAATTGCTGCCGCAAAAGGATGTTGGGGTTACCCTGGGGGGCGTGGGAAAAACCTGCTGTGGGAAAGAGTGGGTGGCCTCTACCTCACTTCACTTCTCTGATGATGACGATACGATATATACATCACAGCTATGAGTGTGTATACGTTCATGAAGTACACGAGAAAACACACTTGCGTTTACGTATTACGTTACGTATATGTATACGGAATATACAAATGACCAAGAGGCTGATACTGCGTAATATAGGACGAGTGCGTGTGGATAAGCAACTAGCGTTCTATGCACTTTTTATTCCACACCAACAAAAATTCTTTCGTTTAACAGTAGTAAATTTTATTTTTAGAAACTCATAGTATACTCTTTCATCAAATTATCTCATTTTATTATAAAAACTTGAAGCTATACTTTATTTTAATAAAGAAATTATACATCGTTCTTGCTACAATTGTAGACAATTAATTGTCAGACTTGAATGCAATTTTTATTCTCTGTAATATTGTTACAGCTTTTTTCTATGCACAGAGTATGTAATTTATGTCAGCAAATTAAATGTGTACTCAAGTAAAGTATTATTTGAAAAAATGATGTCATGCGTCAAGGAATAATATACATATACATATGTATTCCAAATACGAGAGTACTGCAAATTCAATCTAGTAAAGTGACTTGTCTGTATTGCATAATTATCAATGTATTTTATTCAACAATGTTCTTTTCTTTAACCGCTACAATACGTACCGACAGAGTTACATATCATCTTGAAAAATGTACGAATGCAAATGTGAGAGCGCGCTTAGCGTGTGCAAGCGTATCGTTTCTGCTGTAATCAGCTGACCGGCACAGTACGATGTTGATACGTGCAAGAGTTTGCAGGTCGATGTTAGTACGCGTTAATGTGCTATAAAATAATCAATCTAATGGTTCGTAACATTCGTATGAACAGAGTATGTGTTACTGAAACTATTTCTATAAGCATTACATATTTTGCAAACTAGTTTTCCTACTTAAGTATCTTTACTTGTCATTTAGGTTATGGATAATCGAAAGGAAATATTGTGTTCAATACACAATTGTCTTAAACTATGAAGGCGAATAAAAAGGTTTCTTAAACTTACATAATGGGTGTTCAAGGGCTTTGGCGTTTACTTGATGCAACAGGGAAGCAAGTACCTTTGGAAACACTCGAAGGAAAAATCTTAGCAGTAGATGTATCCATTTGGATACATCAAGTATTACAAGGATATCAAGATCGCTTTGGCAACTCCAAACCAAATGCACATCTTATCGGATTATTCAACAGAATATGCAAGCTTTTGTATTACAAAATCAAACCAGTTTTTGTTTTTGATGGAGGTGTACCAATGCTTAAGAAAGATACAATTGTAAGTATGCATTTTAAAAAGGTATTTAATAGTTTAGAGATTCGTATTGTAGATTTCTCAGGAGATATGATATATGAAAATAGTGTTTCTTTGTAATACAGTCGATGAATTCTATTTGATTTAACTTTCTAAATAGCAACTATCGTATGTTTTAAATAGTACCAAGTACATTGTATATGTATGCATTAAAGAAACTGTACTTTTATCTCGACTATAACATTGTCTGCACATAATTAGTCTGCTGTGGGAACCAGGTAGTGAGAAAAGAGGCTCTTATTCTTTTGTATTCACAGGCCTTGCGTAGGAACATGAAATCTATGGCCAAGAATAAAGCCCAACAGATGAGGACAGAATTAATAAATAACTTGATAAAGCACTCTGCTGTAAGAACAGTTCTTAATACAGAGGAAGAAAATGTTGGAAAGATCTCTTCTGAAATAGTTACAAATGTGCAAACTAAACAAACTGCAGATGATATGTTTAAATTACCAGATTTGCCAAGCACAAGCAAAGTAGAGTCAGACCATAGCGACGACTATGATTCTGATTCATCTGTTAATTTGAGTCCACGAAAGCAAACAAAGTGGATTGGAAACATTCACAATGTAGATGTAACTAGTGCTGATTTCAAAGCCTTACCAGCTGATGTTCGCTATGATATTCTCACTGACCTGAAGGAAACAAGAAAGCAAAGTTCGTGGGGCCGTTTGCATGAGATGCCCGAAGTATGTACTTTATTTTTAAATTTACGTATATGTTAACTTATTTTATTTATCTAAAACATGTTTATATTCAGGAGACCCATGAATTTTCTGGTTTCCAAATGAAACGTTTATTAAAACGTAGATTAGTCCAGCAGAATTTGGAAACTGCAGAAAAAGAAATGGGAGGAAAAACACTCACGTTAGATGAATTAGATAAATTATTGACTGAACAGGGTGTAAATACCAGTGGCTACAATTGCACTTACCGCGTTGCAGCCGACAATTCAACTAGACTACTTTACATCAGTGGTAAGTTATAATTTTACTAAATTTTTATTGAAGCTGAAAGCCTTTTTTGCATTTATAAACTTTATGTTGCAGATAAAAATGCGTATATTAAAAGCACCAGCAATAATGATAATTCACAAAGCGAAAATACTAAGAATAATGTAGATAAAGTAGAAGAACCTGTACCTGGATTTAGTAAAGCTGTACCGATTTGCGAGGATATAAATGAATATGAATTCGACAATGAGTGGGATAGCGATATTGAAATAACAGACACTACAAATAATTCGAAGTTAACTGTGGAAGAAATGAGTAGCGACGCTGAATCGGATGTAGAATTGAACGAGTCACGACGTCTTACTAAAAAGTATTTGGGAAAAAATGTTGTCAATCCCGCGTTAACATATATGCTGGAGTATAGCGGATTAACGGAGAAACAAATCCTTACGCTTCTCGAACAAAATAAAAAAAAGGAAGGTTACGAAGGTACTCGGAATGCTTCGAAAGAATCACAACAAACCGAATTTGCGAATCTGGATTTCACAGAATCTACGCAATCATTTAATACGCTACAGACTGAATTATCTGAATCAAATACAGAATCGAATATCAGATCACGGACTGAATTATCTGAATCAAATACTGAATTGGATTCCAATGCATCTTCTTTCAAAGCTTCGAATGCTTCAAATACTGAGCAAATTAAATCAATAGACACAGCGATAATTAGTTCAACAGATTCAGATTCTGATGATTTTGTAGAAATACAAGACGTATTGATACCGGATGTAGACACTGATGGTAATAATAGTGCTTCGAAAGAAGGTATTCAAATAACATTTCGATCTGATCAGAAAATAGAAGATGATATATTTGCCGATGTGTTTGAAACTCCGAATAGCAAATCAAATGCAGAACTAAAGTCTCAAAACTCATCGCTGACCAGTGAAATTTCCGAGAAATTAGTTGAAAGCTTTTCTGAGAATCGAGAGACATCGGAAGATAAAGTTATCCCACAGAAAGCAATTGTAGAATCAACAGAAGACAAAATTAAAGATCAGCAATTACCCGATTCAATCAAAATGGACGATACTGAAGAGCAGCCCGTTGAAAATGACGAAAATAGGGATACACAGTTACAAACAGATCAAACGAAATTAACAAACAAGGAAAATATAACTAATCATGAAACTAATAATGCAGAGATTACAAGTATACAAAACAGTACGATTGTAGATGTACCGTCTGACGATTCGAGAAGAATAAGTCCTCTACCCGTGAATGAAGATGAACTATTATCCTTAAAAACACGATTAGAGGCTGAGCAATCGGAGCTAGCGGCAAATATTGGCAAGTTTGACAGGCAGGGTATCAATATTTCTAATCAAATACGTATCGAATCTCAAGAACTATTACGATTATTTGGTATACCATATATTGTGGCGCCTATGGAAGCAGAAGCACAATGTGCATACTTGGAACAAATTCATTTGACCGATGGTACAATTACAGACGATTCGGACATATGGCTTTTCGGAGGACAATGTGTTTACAAAAATTTTTTCGATAACGACAAGAAAGTCCTCCAATATTGTTCCAACGACATACATCATCATTTCAAATTAACTAGAAGCGAAATGATACGACTGGCTCTTTTAGTCGGCAGCGATTATACTACAGGTTTACCCGGTATTGGACCTGTTACAGCTTTAGAGATACTAGCAGCTTTTCCTTCGGAAGGAGATGATGTGTTGCGAGGCTTGACAACGTTTTGTTCATGGATCAAGAGTGGTAGAGCCGTGGGACCTGGAAAAGCTGCTCTACGAAATAAGTTACAGAATGTACAAATTCATAAAGGATTTCCAAGTCAAGCCGTCGTACAAGCGTATCTTTTTCCCGAGGTGGACGAATCGAAAGAATGTTTCACTTGGGGTAAACTCAACACGCTTCTTTTGTCAGATTACACAAGACAAAAATTCGGTTGGACCAAAGAAAAATTCGATAAAATTATAACACCTATATTGAATAGAATGGAAGAAAAGCAAAGTCAGAAAACGATAAATGCATATTTTAAAGTGCACACTGTTCCGAAATCCATCGAAGTGAACATGAGTAAACGAGTTCAAAAAGCTGTGCAAAAATTAAGCAACCCGAATGCGGAAGAAGCACCCGAAAGTATGTTAAGTAAATTACAACAAATGAAGAGAACGAAATCGAAACCTCCGAACGAAAATCGGAAGAAGAAAACAAAATTGACGGACAAAGAAGATGCGGTCGAAGCTGCTAAGCCAAATACTTTGAACGTTCCTGCCACTAGCGATAAATATGTCGAGGAATACATACCGCAAAGAGAAAAAGATAGAGAGGCTGCCTTGAAGAAAAGATTAAACGCGATCGAAGTGCTTAGAAAATCGAAACAAGGATTATACAAAACAAAGAAAGTGAAGCGTTGCGTTAGGAAAGTGAAGAAGGAAGCTGGTCTTTCGGAAAGTGATAGCAGCAGTTCATAAAGGAATTTAATAAAAGATAACGAACGGACATGAAGTGTAGCTACGAAGTATTGCGAGATATATTAGCGAATACACGATCATTTAGAGCGGTAATATTAAGCACATACAAAGTATTATCTACCGAGAGGGAAGTGTTTTAAATAAATTATTTTTCTATAAATACAGTTGTCTTGCTTTATTGGAAAATATTTAATAAAACATTAAGTACAAGTGATACTTGCACTAGTAATCCTACGGTAGGAATAGCGGGCGAACTTAATGGTACGCTTAAAGTAGTATATAAATATTACGTATATCTTTTAAAAATACTGTTGTTGTAAATAGAACGGTAAATTTTTCTTTGCAAGCTCGTATGGAAATCGAAGCACGATGTCATCGTCTTTCAGGAAACGTTCTAAAATCGACCCAAAGCTAGCTTCGTTGTCGTTTTGTACATTAGTCTCAGTTTTATTGTTAAAATAATACCTATATAGCTATCTGTCTATATTAATAATACTTTGGCGTGAAATTGCTTTGTCAAATACGTAATGGTAACTATGTAATTTGTACCGGTACTTTATTGAGTTATATTTCGCGTACTCCGGATTTAGGCGCGGCAACATTCGCATCACCTGCTCTGATTCGTTTTAAATATCCGTTTTGCCTCACGAAGTTGAACCTAGCAACTCATAAACCAGCGGTTCTTCCTTCCCTGCGGAAATCCGAGGTGGCGAATATCTTTCCAGTCTCGTTGGTCACAGCTGTTATGGCACTTCCAATTCCCGAGAATTCTGTAACGTTGTGACCAATCCTCGATAAATACTTCAGTATACTCGGAGAAAATTCCTTCTCGTTTTGCACGTACATAGGCATTAGCTGCAATTAAAAATAGTTATATTTATTTGTACAAACACGATTATTAATATGCCGACTCACCTGATGATGAATTCTACGCATTTCGATTGCTTGTTTTATACTGTATCCCGACCAAAGGTTGAACGCCATACCGATTGCGACTCCTGTCGTTATTTTGCTCCCACCCGCGGCTCCGATTATCATACGGACATTTCTCTTTTCGTCTAGCTATATAAACAAAACAAAAAGTCTAATTGGCTTCCCGTATACGGGTCGATGCGTTTTACACGTGGAATTTCGTTCGACCAGTATACTGATATTAACGAAGTTACGCAACAGCAACGATACTCGTATGGTCTCGCATTATTTCACGCGACCGTTCGAATAATTACGTACATTTTATCAGTCACGTGTTCTTTTACGTAAATACGATAATCGAGTTATTCAATTTATGCTAAATGTATACATTTAATTGTTGTAAAGTACTGTTTCGCTTTACGAAATGTACATGTGTTCATTCTTTCTTTTTTTTTTTACTGTTGAAAGGTAATTAAAAGAAGATGAGATGCACAGCTACTCACAACAATCGTTGGACTCATGGAACTCAGAGGTCTTTTTCCAGGACGAATAAAATTGGCTGGCGATGGAGGTAGATCGAATCCGTTGTTAATATTAGGAGAGCTAAAATCATCCATCTCGTCGTTGAATATAATCCCTGTTGATCTGGAACGCTTCATCGCGCCGAAACTGTTTAACAAAGAAAAAGACAAAGGAACAGTAGAAGATACCGATCTTTTGCGATTGCCTCCAGTAAAATCCACTGGCTTACACTTGATTTATGGTCGCCGTCACTGATACAGCCGATCCATCAGGAGCCAGCACAGAGACGTGGGACGTCCCCGAATCGTCCGGTGCGTGTACAACAGCCCCGTAATGTTCAGGATCATTGTCCGTTTCGTTATCTTTGATTCTCTTTCGGACTATGTTGGCATAGTCTATAGACGTCAAGTTGGCGACCAATTTATCTGGACACACGTTATTATTTCCGAGACGTTACGCTCGAATTGATTGTTACAGATTTGTTTCATGGTAAATTGGAAGTATTTGAACGTTGACAATTTTCCTCTTGTATAGCGACAATTCATTATCACCGAACTGGACGCGTTACAGGCGTAAACGTTTTTCAGAGAAAACAGGATTACGTAAACAGAACCAACGAGAAGCACGCGAATCGCTTGAGTATTATATTGAGTGCTAAAGACAATGTTGATTATTTTCGAATGGTAGCGATCTTTTATCAGGAATATCGTGTTACGGTTGAACGATGTGCTAATTTTTGAATAATAAAGTGGTTATAAGCGTACACATTTTGATCTAACTTTGTTGTTGTCAAGTTTCAAACCATGATATTTAATTGTTTTATCGCGTTGACATTTTTGTATTTACTCATTGCGTTCGATTATCGTGGATGACTAGACAATAATATAAATTGTCGACTCACTGATATTGCCATCCGGGTCGAAATCGGGATCAGCCAATTCGGTTCTCTTGGCGTAAGCCCATTTAAACGTTTCGACGAAACGCTGCCACATGATGCCCTCGTCTTTGTAAGGTACCAATCCGTTGAGGATATTCATAATGAAGACCAGGATCGCCCCCGAACCTGGTGGCGGTGCTGTGTACAGCGTCAAATCCCTCAGCTTCGATTCGATCGGTTTCCTCCATTTTGCCCTGTAAGAAATTTCACGTAATTTTTTTTTCAAGCCAAGCACTCGAATGATACTCTACCACCAGTTGAATGTTTTCAGTCGCACGCAGAGGCATCGCTCTTTAATCTGTACGTCACTACGATTTCGATTAAGGAGTAAAGTTATAACATTGTTATCTCGTGGAAATTGATAAAGAAACGTGAATCAAACTTTGATACGTTTATTATAAATTGCAAGTTGCAACAGAAGTTATTCTTTTTAATCGTCATTTCAATTAGAAAATGGCAGATGTGGTATATCACTTGTCAAGGCCTTGATCAAACCTGTAATTTTGTAAGTCTTCCTTAGTGATGATACCCTTGATCGCTTGGATATCGGCGACCAGATCGTCGCCCATACTGCCGTTGTAAAATATGGTTGGTCCTTGTTCAGCAATCAATTTCAACGTTTCGGCTAATTTAGGTCGTTTTATCCTGTCACCTGCCTGTAACAGATATTCAACCAACGCTAGAAACGAAGTCTTTTTTTGTCCTGTTCGAAGTTAGTGACATCGTCAAGTTAATCTTAACTTAAAATTAATTTACGATTTTCAAATTTGTTCTCAAAGAATGCTTTATGTTATCTTGCAGCAATTTGGCTTCCTATTCCCCTCAACGCTGATCTCTGTTCACCACGAAGAAACAGCGGAACGAGTATCATTGTTAACTGAAAAGAATGCCTCCGAAGAGTACACTCGGTTTAATTGAGACTGTATTACTAGAGATGCGCGGAAGGCTTCCCCAATTGATGATGCGCAATTTACCAATCGGAGATCTCGTTCGAAGCTTTTCATCCGTTTTATACAAGGAAGTTTTTGTATATTATTTCTAAATGTAGGAGGACATCCAGAACAAGCTCAGAGAGTAGCAAGAACTATCCACTCATGGATGTCCTCTGGAAAAGAAAAGATCAAAGAACTCAGTTCGCCAGCGTCTCTAGCTGTTAAGAGGTATTTTTCTGCGCTGTGAATAACGCGAAGAATGTTCACCTTCCACGTGGAATTGGTGGCTGGGTTGATGAGTATCTCCGCCAGCGAGCTCTCCGCCTTTATCCGCGATTCTCTGGCGCTCAAATAAGCGGACAGGTAATTGTTCACGAGCGATCCAGTCTTGCAGAGAGCGATACTTGGTTGGAACAAGTCGTACCATAGTATCTTCCCGTATTTCTTATGCGCCTCCCAATAGCCGTAGAGTTCGCCAGGCACCGCGATCGCCAAGCCACCTTGACCATCGTTTACGTGTTAATAATGTCAAGTGTATCACACCTATTGCATGCAATACGCGTCTACTGATAATAATGGCAAGGACGACAACCTACCGTACATTGATAACTTAGGGTCGCCTTGAAACATGTTCTCGCGCGCCGCGGCAGGGGCAGTCTCGCGGGCGTCCAGATAATCGGCAGTCTTGGTGCGTGCGTCCCAAATCGTCATCAAGAATCCGCCGCCCAATCCCGTGCTGCGAATCGATCAAGAATTATTTGAAAAATTTCACGTGATTTGGATGCATTTATTTATGGACACTGATATCCAAACGAGGAGGGTTTATATAAGAAGAAAAAAAAAAGAAAGTTGGTAACTATAAAGGAATGCGGCTAATAAAAAGATAATACATTGGAATTTGGCGTATAAAGTACGTTGATCACCTCCTCGCCGATATCGTGTAATAAACGAGGCTTTTATACGATAATCCGGAGAACAATAATCTAGATTCCATTGTGTTAAACAGATAGTAATAGATATAAATATAACTACAGTAACATTGTCAATATTGACAAGATGGAATGGTATGAAGCAGTATTTAATTGTTTACCTGTGCAAAGATGCAACCCCTTCGCACAGAAGCGCGGCTATCGCCGCGTCCACGGCTGAGCCATCTCTTTTGAGTATATCCGCGCCGATTTGCGCGCATTCTGGTCCATTCGCCGATACTGCACCCTTTGATAGATAATAAATAGAATTATTACTATTCTTCCTCGAGCTTTCGCTATCAAGGAACATTAATCAACTGTTTCGCGATTATAATTAATTTGGTTAAAATTAATTCCAATTAAAGATAAGATATGTAGTACTCTTGTTGTACTTCAAATTACACGTTGATAAACACCTTCTTAAGTATGGTTTATCTACGTGTAACATTTAATTAATGTTCCGTGTAAATGAATCTTGAATAAAAATCAACAGATATCTCCTGAACACTATATAATTAAGGAAGCAATTATTGCTCGAGTAATCGCGTTTTTAACAATTATCTATGTGATATTTTACCTTAGCGTACACGCCGGAGTAAAGGTCGTTGACATTTTCTGAGTTTTTAGCGAGGACAACAATTACTATAGCGATGATCACACCTAAAATTATAACGATGCTCACCCCAGCAATTACAATCCTCTTCTTGTTTACGCTGCATAAGGGAGAGAGCGTATTCGGTTACTTTTCATAATCAATTAAACGCAAGATCTTTCTTTTAATCGTTTCGTTACTTTTGACGGTTCCATCGGAGCGTCTGAAGAAACCGATCGTGTTTGTTTGTAAAATGATATCGTTGGATGATAGACGCGTAATAACTTCACGCGTATTTACAATAGTGCTAATCGATTTTTACGTTTTCGCGTGCGATATGAATATCTATGCGAAGCAACTTTTAATGAGCAGTTGTATTTTATGCTTTAGGCGACGACTGGTTTTCAGGTACATTCCGTTTATCTTTATTGTGGCAAGAGCCAATAATTTCTTGCAACGATCGAGCGCAATCGTTTTTCTAGAAAACGCTATTTCTATTTTAAGCGTTACATTATTCTTAGCTGTCGTTAGCGCAAGAGAGTGGAATCGAAGTAATTTTAAATCCTTTTAAGCCGCCGATAAGCGCTCAATAAATGTATAAAGTTAATTTCTGAGAAACCGAACAAGAAAAATCAATCTTCGAATAGTTTTTATCGAGAACACGAGAATGATTTCAAACTTGACCGTAGATTTTTATCGTAAATTGTATCGTGTGCCAAATAATTCGAATTGTGTATCTATCTACGAACGATGTTTAACTACGTTAAATTCCTTTTATGACAATTATTTCATCACACGTTAACTAGAGCCTATTACTTCACGCGTACGCGATGATAACGATACGTCTTCGATAATAATCGAGAAGCTGGAATCACCGCGCTACATTGTACGCATGTATATCCAGGATCTTGTTATCACACTTTAGAGATCTAATGACATCCTATTAAAACACGAATACTCGTTTAGCGTTTTCTTCACTGAAAATCGAGCATGCGAGAGTTGCGTGCAAATAACAAGTCTTGTAGATAACAAATCAGTCTCGAGCGAGAGATTTTCATTTTTATGTAATAGCTGTCGATTAACTAGAATCAAGATTATGCGGTCACACTGCAATCCTCTCGAGAGAACAACACTGTAAGGAATACAATGAAAAGATCTATGTAACACAGACGACGCACGATTAGAACGTCTTTGCGTCTTGTCACACCTTTGTAAGAATCGTTTAGTTACGAGAGCGGATGCAACTATACACTTGAAATTAATCTCCATTGACCAGGAACGCGATTGGTTGAAAATTAACAATAACGAGCCAGAATGATAAGCGATATGTATAAAGTGCGAGACTCTTTACGAACCCGATCATGTTGCGTGAGCCGCGGCACAGGAGAACGCTCAGCCTTGACTAAACGTTTCACCAAGCCGATCGTTGCCTCTTATACCAGTTGCAATACAGATTCCACCTATTCATCCCCACCACTATCCTATATTTGATAATACTAAATACTCCAGACTTTTTTGGTTTTTTGCAAGTTGTCGTTACGTCGCCGTCCTCGAACCACCCGCTATTCCAAACAATCCAATCGCTTTTTGTCTTTCTTCGCGTTGTCCTTAAAGATCTGGTATAATTTCTCTATTCAAGCATTTGTAAAAATCTTTGAAGGCATCAAATTTTCCATCGTGATAATCGAATCATCCTGTATCGATGAAAAAATTTAATTTTTAATGGATGATTTGCAGCAAGTTTGAGGGGCTCTCGCGGAAAGTTCATTTACGCGTTAGAAATTTATTAACTAATATGTACTTTCCGGCGATAAGAAACTGTCAACTATTATAATAAAAAATGACCTCCTATTTGCCAAGGAAATGTACTATTTTACTGCGAGTGATTAATAGTATTCCAGTGTTGTATTTTTCTTTTGTAATACATATATCTCTTAGTATCTTTCCTTAGTTTAATCTAACTTGTATCATTCTTCATTAACATACAGTCCTGATAATAATAATAATGCGTTTCCAGTTTCGTCATACTACCTTGCCTAATAATAATTTATATATTCTAATTATATGTACATAATTATACGAAATACTTTAAAAACTTTGTAGTTTGTGCATGTTTGTATATCGCATCATTTTTGTTCAAAGTTCATCTCTGAATGTATATGTTAACAGTTATATTATCAATAAAGCTTGCATTCTGGTAATCGTGAAATACTTTTTCCTTTTTTTAACACCTGAATCACATACAGTATATTATTTATATGCGAGAGAATTAATTATTAAAATGTTGTAGTTTGAATATTCCCGCGCATTCCTTTTATAGGTTATGTTTTCTCT